GTAAATATTTAACAACCAGCTCTTTTTTGGGGGGGATAGAGGGGGGAATGTAGATACGACACACTTTTAAGCTTAATTTGCATTTCCCCCATCACTTAAGTCTAGAAAATCAACAAAACAATAAATCAAGGCTTGGTTTGTAGCCCTGTTTCTAAGGTGAAAATGTTCACACTGAAGATTTAACAATCAGCCTCCCACCCCACCCACTCTGAGCTGGCTCCAACACATTCCTGCTTAAAGCCCCCAGATGAGAACCACTTCCCTGGCTAGTACTGCCCTTCTAGACTCAAACATGAGCATGGGTTGGAGCTTTTGGCCTATAACTCTGATATTCAATGTTGTCAGGGGAGGCTTTGGGATGGTGAGGCTCTGTGGTGTAATGGATAAAGGCACTTGGAGTCAAGAAAACCTGGGTATAAATCTTGCTGAGATACTTACTAGCTGTGGGACCCTAGACAAGTCCTTCAACCTCAGTTTCTGCATCTATCAATAAGGGAACTTGACCTGATGGCTTGTAAGCTTCCTTCCAGCTTTAAATCTATGATGCCACATGCTACTAGGCCTCAAATGATAGGGAGATAGTGAAGACAAAGCTGGTACTCAGAGTAAGCAAGGCACTCTGCCACACATAAGAGAGGGGCATAACAAGGAACATTTCTGGAAGTAAAATCCAGCCATCTCATTTTATATATGAGGAAACTGAGGCCCAGAGAGGCCAACTTGCTCAAGGTCACACAGGTCTGAGGTCTTCTTTGATTTCTTTGAATTCAGGTCTTCTCAAACTCAAAGTGCAATGCTTTATCTACTATACCACACTGCTTCTAATGTTACTAATTATACTTGAATACATCTAAAGGTCTGAGGTTTGTGGGTTTTTTTAATTGTAGGTGCTGTCCCCATTGATGTAGATGGCAGCCCCTTTATCTTAAAACAAACTATTTCAAGAGCTGCTATGGCTGAAAAAAATGCATTATCTGGTGGCTGACCCTCTGGTTATAAGCCTCTCTATATTTAGCTAGCCTGATCTTCAGGCAGCAGACATAATCTATCACTGTACTGGGCTCCCATTTGAAGCCTTTCCAGCTTGAGAGAACCTGACACGGGTTTGGACTCCACTGACCTAAATTTCAAGAACCCAAGGTCACCCATAACCTGGTATTTGAAGAGGACTTCAGTGGAACATTGGTCTGTTATTTTACTAGTATAAGGAACCTCCAGAGAGGAAACTGTCTCTACCTTGGGGCTTGTGAGCACCGAAGTTAGATAACTTGCCCAGAACTTGAATTCAGGTCTTCCTGACTCTGAGGCCAGCCTTCTATCCAATAGGCCAAATTACCTCAGTTCTGTTTTTTGAGACTGGATCTCCCAATCTCACTTAAACTGGCCAGACACTCCTAGGCCCAATCCTAATAATTATCAAATGAGATAATATTTGTAAAGCACTTTGCACAGTACCTGGTACATGGTAGGTGCTTGATAAATACTTGGTCCTTTCTGATATTTATCAGCATGGAAGCTTTAACCAGCTGTTTTTCCACCCTGGGTCACTTCACCCCTCTGGGCAGCCCGGTGGCCTCGTGCTCTCCAGGCTCACCATATTAGTGATGGGTTTAATACAGACACTCAATCCCATTGGTCCTCGTTGTTGTTGTTGTTGTTGTTTGCCCTTCATTCTCGAGGACGACTACGACGTCAGGGAGCTGATGCCATGACATGCAAGTGAATCGGATTTAAGTGAGGGAGGGATGTGCAGACACCAGCCTCACTTTCTCTTCCAGACTGATACATCTGGGTCCAGTGGTGAAATATAGATCAGGATGACTGGAGATGGCACTGGAAGCAGTGGCAGGCCTTGGCCTTTTTAAGCTAAGGTTTTTCCCAGGTCTCAGTTTTTCTGAGGCAATGCCCATTCAGTGATTAAGGCTAGGTAAGAAATGAGGCAGAGAATGGCCTCTTTACCTACTCAAAAAAGAAAAAAAAAGTCAATCTGGGAGGGGAAGATCTTCAGGGTTTCTGGCCAAAACAGAAACAATTGCTTTTTACTAGCCCTTGTGATGATAAGAAATGATCTGAGCTCTAACAAGAATGCATACACTCCTGGGAAAAGCAAAAGTTCTGTCTAAGCCCTATGGGTCAGGGTCTTAGGAGTCCGAGCTGTGAGACAAAGCATCTACCACAGAAGTTATATCTTCTGGAAGACAAATTATTTTCAAGGAAAACCTAACATTAGTTTTGTTAAGATCTGAAGATCTGAGTCTCCTAGGTCCTGATCATTCTGTCTTGGTCATGTGTAATGATTCTTAAAGCTTCTTTGGTCCTTACTGTAGGGCAGAACTCCTGAACTCAAGCAGGGATTACAGTAGATGCCTTGACTTTAAACTAATTGTGTCTATTGACTATTAATGATGGAGGCACTTGAGCTATCTTTTAGAAGTCCCAACCCATAGGGTATTCGACCATCCCCCTGCAAAATCAACCCACAAGTGAAAAGGAGGGGAGTGGGTGGAGGGAAAGGCAACTCCAAGCCACAACAGCTTATTTCATAACTTGATCAAAGGGCTCTGCTACCATCCCAACAAGATTCTTATCTCCTCAAATTCACATGACCCCATATATTACACAATTGAATTACAGATATTTGCTGAATGGAAAAGAAAACAAAAGCTACATCTCTAAAGCTACCAAATATGTGCAAATTAACCTGCTACCAGGGTTGCCAAAAGTGGGTCAGAACTGGTGAAAACCTTCTTTTCAGGCTCTCCAGCAAAGAGAGAAAAGAGAGGGGAAGAAAGGAAAGCAAAACGGAAATGATCAGATGTGAAGACAGTGTAGGAAAGGAGAGGAAGGCAGAAGCAGAAGGAAGGGAAAGTAGAGGATCCTCAAGAATGCTGAAAATCTGTACATAGGATGTGTATTGATGTGTAAAAAACTCCAAATATTCCCTGCTAAATAGAAAAAGAAAACATTTGTTCTTAGAAACATTTTAAAAATTTAAATATTAAAATTTAAAGATTTAAAAATAAAAACCACATATATCCCATTAAATTATATTGCATAAATACACAAAATGCAACCTTGCAAGCTTCAACTTTTTTCAAAATGCAACCCTCATATAATAAAACACTTAAATTCATCAAAAATGCAATTGCTTTTTGTTTTTCACTAGAATTTCATTTTTTATAATTTTATTGTGAGATCTTGTTTAGCGGAAAATTGAGAAAAGTTTTTTAAAAATTTAAATACATTTTTTGGTAAAATATATAGGTAGAAATTTAATCTTTGTAATTGTAGATAATTAAGATATTTAAAATACATTTTTATTATATAATGTGTACAAAGTATATACTTTATAATAATAAAGGAAACTTGTACTCCCACATACCAGGTTGCTGAATGGAAAATTTTAATATTTAAATTTTTTAAATGTTTCTAAGAACAAATTGTTTTCTTTTTTGTATTTAGCAGGGAATACTTGGAGTTTTTTACACATCAATACACATCCTATGTACAATTTTATTCATAAAAAGCTACATTTTAAACACAAGCAATTCAGGAAAGTTGCAACTGCACATAATAAATGAGTCGGCACTCATAATATCAATGAGAAACAAATGGTCATTTGCAGTTGGAGATACTCAGAAATGTGCTTTTCAGAGCATAAATTCACAAACTTTATTTAAATTTGTTATTTAGAATAGCTTGCAATGAACATATTCTATGAGTGCACAGATAAGAATCATACATGTTGAAAAGGCACAGATTGGCTGGGTTTTAAGGGGGTGTTGGAAGTAAGAATATTAATAAGACTGTTGCTATACAAGCAATAATACTTCACATTTCAAAAAAAAAGGTATATAGCATAAAGCTTCCAAAGCACTTTCATCACAATTCAGGAAGGGAGGTAGTGAAAATAACATTATCTCTGTTCTATAGATGAAGATACTGAGACGAAAAGTGACTCAGCCGGGGTCCTACAGTGTGGACTGCTGTGGGCACTTAGTGAAGAAGGGAAAGAACGGAACCAAGAAGAGAGGCTATAAAGGTCACCAGATGGTGCAGTGGATAGAGCACTGGGCCTGGAGTCAAGACACTTACTAGCTGTGTGACTTTTGAGCAAGTCACTTAACCTGTTTGCCTTAGTTTCTTCATGTGTAAAATGGGGATAATAGCATCTACTTCCCAGGATTGCTGTCAGGACCAAATGAGGTAATAATTGTAAAGCACTTGTCACATAGTAAGCACTATATAAATATTAGCTATTATTATTGTTGTTGTTGTTGTTAGAGTTTGTTTCCATCATTTCCAAAAGACCGTTCTTTCTCTCCTCCACCCCCCAACAAGCCGCTAGTGCCACCTCTTTCGTATTACCTTCCATCCACTCTGTACTTATCTTGTATGTTCTGACTCATTCTTGTTGTCCCCCTGCATTAGAATGTAAGCTCCTTGAGGCCAGGAGTTTTTTTCTTTGGTGCCTGGCACATAGCAAGGGCTTATGAAATGTTTGTCAGACCCACAGAATCACAAGAGTTGAAGGGCCTTGGAAGTAATTTAGCCCAACTTGCCCCTTAACAGATGCCATGGGAGGCAGAAAGGGGAAGAAGGAGACGATAGCCCCTGTGAGCCGGCGCAGAAGCGAGGACCTTGCCTGGCCGGAGCCGAGGGGAGACCCAGGGCGAGAATAGCGGACACGGTGCAACGCCCTCATTTTGCAAATGAGGAAACTGAGGTACAAAGTAAGGGAAGCAACTCGCCCAGGGTCTCACGGGGAAGTCGAACACCAGAGGTAGAAGCTACCGATTATCAACTAAAAAGGTTTGCCGTAGATGCACGGAAGCGCTTGAAAAACACTTAAAGCACGAGGGAGATGTGGGAGGAGAGTCAGTGACGTCAGCGGAAACGCCTGTGGGCGGAACATCCGGGTCCTTGTGCGAAGGCCGGCAGGCCTCTCCCAGGAACCTTGGTGTTGGGGCGGTGTTTCAAGGCGGACGGCCGGAGGACGGACCGGAAACTCCGGGAGGCGGGACGGAAGGGTCGGGCTTTCTTCGAGCGGGTACTGGTCGAACTGGAGGGAGCCGGGGAAAAACCTGGGCCCGGGCCCGGGGCCGGGGCCGGATCTGCAGGTCCCCGAGGGCCGGGAGAGCGGGGCTCTGGGGTAACGGCGGCGGCAGCCGGAGGCGAGCGAGCAGATGGGACGCAGGAGGCCAAGGCCCGCTCGGGGCCAGGCTCGGGGGTTGCGGGGGGAGCTGGAGCCGGGGCCACCGCAGCCTCAGGGGCTGGGGCCGGGGCTTCCTCCATGTTCGCGGGGTTGCAGGACCTGGGGGTGGCCAACGGCGAGGACCTGAAGGAGACACTGACCAACTGCACCGAGCCCCTCAAAGCCATCGAGCAGTTCCAGGTGCGGGATCCCCAGGCCCCCAGTACCGGCCTCTACGAGTCGGTTCTTCCTTTCCAGACCCAGAGCCCAGAGTGACAGGATCTGCGAGGTGTAAGAGACCTCAGGGCTCGGTCATCCAGGCCAACCAGACCTGAATTCTCAGTACAACATAACCTGACATGACTATCCAGCCATTGTGCCTGAAGACCTTTAAATGAGGAAGAAACCACTGCCTCCCAAAGCTGCCCAATCCACGTTTAGTCAGCTTTAGTTGTTATGAACTTTTCCCCTTACATTAAGCCCAAATCTACTTCACTTCCATCCATCGATTTTAGATTTGTGTTGTGGGTCCAAGAAGAACATACCTCATCTCTCTGGTAGATGACAATTCTTAAAACACTTGAAGATGGTTATCATGTCCCTGCTAAATCTTTTCTCCATTCTGAACATCCCCAGGCACTTCAGCCATTTATTGTATGACATCGTTTCCAGGCCTCTATCATTCTGGTTACTCTTGGATGCTTTCTAGTTAATTAATCCCCTTCTATGGTGCTCAGAACTGGATGCATTATTTCAGATGTCATCTGACCAGTGCAGAGAGCGTAATGATATTGTCAGTTCCCTCCTTCTGAACACTATACCTCTTTTAAAGTAGCCTAGATTAAATTTCTTCACATTACCTTTTTTCTGCTATGTCACAATATTGAGCTTACAAATCCACTAAAACCTTTTCTTCTACTATGTCATGATGTTGAGCCTACAAATCCACTAAAACTCATGTGCCAAAGGCAGGTAATGGAGGATGAGTTTAAAAAAAGAAAAGCTTGGCACAGTAAAGTGAGAATAGTTTCAGGACTGAGAAATTCTACAGATATCAAAATGGCTTTGTTGTTTTAGTTATATTGGACAAAAAAGAAAGATCAGAGAAGGGTTAAGACTTGTTTAGGATAGCTGGGATGTTGAGAATAGAGTAAAGAAAAGGCAGATCTATTCAATTCTTTTTTTTTCTTCTACCAAGGACTTTTGGTTTGGAAAGGACAAAACAAAAATTTTACCAAGTTGTTAAAACCTGAGATGTGTAGGGAGATAGTAAGGAGGGACCAAGTTCCCCTTCTTCAGATCACTGGGCCTAAATGAAATGCAATTTTAGGGTACTTAAAGAACCAGTAAATATGATTTAGTCACTGTCAGTGATCAATGGAGTGATGTCCCAGTTTTTTGGGTTTTTTTTTTAATGACATTTAATTTCCAGTTACACTCTTCAGGAGAGCCATGGGAAGCTTTATTTAACTTTGTTTCCGCAGAGCACAGGGAGCATGGGGCCCAGAGATGCAGCACAGAGCATAGAACTATTAGATATAGGGAATATGTGAACAGCTAGGTTAAGCAGTAGATAGAATGGTGGGCTTGGAATCAGGGAGATCTAGATTTAAATCCTGACCTCTTGCAATCAGTTTCCTTATCTGTAAGATGAGGAGGTTGAACTAGTTGGCCTCTAATGCCCAGTCTAGCTCTTAATCTCTGATCATATGCCCTAAAACTAGAGGATTGATTTTCAAATCACTCGAGCCTTTATAGGTGAAGGAAGAGGGAATAGGCCTTTTCCTTTGTGAGTAGTACAACAGAGTGGCCTTGGGTGCTGGGTTTAGGTTCTAGTCACTTCACAAGTGTTTGAATCCTTTTACTGCCAGTCAACCTTCTTTCCCCCCCTCCCAATTCGAGCCCTTAAATACCATGTAGTCTGATACCTTCGTTCAGCTAATGGGGAGATTGAATCCCACAGAAGGGAAGTAATTTCAGAGTCACACAATGAATGCTAGTGTCAGCCAAGGGTGGAACCAAAGTTTCCTGACTCACAAGTTGGTGCTTATTCCACCACGGTATTTGTGCCATGTACAAATGAACTGCACAGGGTCAGGATTTAAACTGAGATCTTGATTCCATGCCCAGCACTCTATATACTGCACCACCTAACAAGCATTCATTAAGGGTCTGTCTACATCTAGAGGGCCATCTGCAGTTGTCCTCATCTATATCTAACCTTGTACTCAAGATTAGAGACCTGGCCTAGACCTTAGGGGATCTGGATTCAAATCCACCTCTATTACTGTTACTGTGTGATATGTAGGCAAGTCACTTCCCCTCTCTGGGCCTTGTTTTCCTCAGTAAAATTAGGAAGTTGGACTGGATCTATGAGGAATTTGGAATTTTCTGTGTGGGTTTGATTTTGTTCCCCACCTGGACGGAATAGTGTTTAATGATAATTGGAGGGGCACTATGGAGTCACCGTCTTGGGGCTGTATTGTGAGGGATGGGTGTACCATTGCTTGTTGTTGAGTCATTTTTCAGTCGTGTCCAACTCTTCATGACAAGTTGAGATTTTCTTGGCAAAGATACTAGAGTGGCTCCAGCTCATTTTTACAGATGAAAAACTGGGGCAAATAGGGTTAAGTGACTTGCCCAGGGACACACAGCAAGTAAGTGTCTGAGATGAGATTTGAACTAATGAAGATGTCTTCCTGATTCCAAACCCAGTGCTTTCTCCTTCGACACCTACTTAATACATATTATGTATAGTACTTTAAATCTTTTAAAGCATTTAACATCCATTATTTTCTGATTTAATCCTCACAACAATGAGATAGATACTATGAGCCTTATTTTACAATGAAGAAACAGACTCAAGAGATGATGGCTTGCTCAATCACACAGTTGTAATTCAGAAGGCAAGATTTAAACCCAGATCCCTGACTCCAAGTCTAGTACTCTTTGATTTGAATTATTCGATAACTGTTTGAAAAGGTTTGGGTAATACCTATTTTCAAAAAACCTTGTTCGTGGTTTATATTGTCCAGAGTTAAATGTGTTTGTTTCTCCTTTTTTGGGTACCTCCTCTATAAGATGAATTTTATTTAACATCAACCTTTGCTTTATTAGACAGAGAATGGTGTCCTACTGCCATCATTACAGTCTGCTCTGCCTTTCTTGGACCTGCATGGGACACCTCGGCTAGAATTCCACCAGTCAGTTTTTGATGAGCTGAGAGACAAGTTATTGGAGAGAGTGTCTGCCATTGCTGCTGAAGGAAAGGTTGAAGAAAGGTAAAAATCCTGAGAAAGAGCCAGGCAGGGGCTATCTCTCTTTAGAGGCACTACTATTGCACTGGCTATAAACACAAAAGCTTTTCTGGCTATCTCAGTCGGTGGACAATTATCCTTATTGCTTTCAGACTATTGTTCTAGTTAATGGCAGTCTGAGTGCAGACACAGGGAACAACACCCATTTTCTTGATCTTATTCTGTGGTTTCACTTCTTAGCCCTTTCTGGTGCATGATAAACTAGCAACCAGAAACTAGGGTGAATCAGTTTTTTTAAAGTTTTTTGCAGGATTTCATATTTCTTAAATTTTGTTAATTATTTCCTATTTACATGCAAAAATATTTTTAACAATAATTTTCTAAAAATTTAAGTTACAAATTCCCACCTTCTTCCCTTGAGAAGGTAAGCAGTTTAATATGGATTATACATGTGAAGTCATGCAAAAAATAATTCCCTATTAGCCATGTTGCAGAAGAAAACAGACAAAAAAAAAGGAAAAAAAATAAAGAAAATTTTAAAAAGTATGTTTCAATCTGCATTTAGAGTGGATGAGTCCATTATAATTATCACCTATGTATTTCTAGGTACAAGAAGCTAGAAGATCTCTTGGAGAAAAGTTTTTCCCTGGTTAAAATGCCTTCCCTCCAGCCAGTGGTGATGTGTGTAATGAAACACTTGCCAAAGGTAAAATCAAGTGCTATACTTGTGGCACATGGTAGTGACTTAATTGGTGGTACCTGACTGATAGGTCTTTTTACTGCTTCAGGACATAGGGTCTCAACATGTTGGTGTCTCTTAGCTGTTATAGTGCAGATCCAATTTCTCACTTTCTTTGTCTTTACTTCCTCTGTGAGAACATTTATTATTGTCTAGCTCAAATAATGCCTTGTTTTTTCCACCTCTTAAGGTAACGTGTATGCTTATGTTCACTTTGAAAGAAAAGTTACAGCTTTTCCCCCTTATTCTGTATTTCTCTTCAACAGTTAATACAAAATCCAAAGGATTTTGAATTTTGGAAATAAGAAATTTGGTCTTCAGTCCTTCTGAAAAAGAAAAGATATTTTAAGAAGTTAATTGATTTTTAGTTAAGACATGTTAAAATTAGTGCTATTGCTACAGTTACCATTATTTTACACTTTGGGCACTCCACCCAAGTTTTAGGAGGGAGATTGGCAACCTTCTTTGGAGATGGGTTGTTGTGTCAACTGGATCCACATTATATAACATAAAAGCTAATCAAGAAAAAACGTTGATACTCAAGTGTTCTTGCAGGTTCCTGAAAAAAAATTGAAACTGGTGATGGCTGACAAGGAGCTATATCGGGCATGTGCTGTGGAGGTAAAGCGACAGATTTGGCAGGATAACCAAGCTCTGTTTGGTGATGAAGTTTCTCCACTGCTCAAACAGTACATCTTGGAGAAGGAGAACATCCTCTTCAGCAATGAAGTGTCTGTCTTGCATAATTTCTTCAGTCCGTCTCCTAAAACAAGACGTCAGGGGGAGGTGAGGGCCAAAGGAAAATGTGTATTTACACTGTAATTCCTTACCCTGCTTCTCTGCCTGTGCCATACTTCCTATGTGGTGTTCTGTCCTCTGCTGTTGTCCATCAGCTTGGCCTTAAATGCCCACAGGGTGGCTTTCCTGGACTTCATTCTGAGCTAATCTGCTGCACTGATTGGTGGTAATGTAACAGTGGCTAATCATAAAGCTGCTTAACGTACTCCTCCTTTAGAGAACAGATGTGATTTTTAACTAGGAATTTGACTTGATTCAAAAGAGTGAGTCTAACTGTGAGAACTTTAGGCTCCATGATGAACGTTGGGAGGGTTGGAGGGGGATGGCAGCCTGGCTGGACATACTCCTGAGAAAATCCTGAGTCACGTGAACAGATCACTAAGCCTGGAGATTCACAGCATCTAGAACGTGGGAGGCAGTAGTGCTGCCTGCTGTTCTCAGACACAGATAGGCCATCTTTGGAAGAGAAAGACCAGTGATAAGCGTAAGAAGATCACTGAAAGGAACTAGGAATATTTATTCTGGCAAAAAAAGGTATAAAGGGAGCTATGGTAGCTATTTTCTTGGCAAGGCAGTTAGGGTTAAGTGACCTGACCAGGGTTACACTAGTAAGTGTCAAGTGTCTGAGGCCAAATTTGAACTCAGGCCCTCCTGATTACAGGGCCAGTGCTCTATTCACTGTGCCACCTAGCTGCCCCTAGGGTAGCTATTTTTAAGTATTTGAAGACCTGTCATAAGGCTGAGGGATTAGACTTGTTTTATTGTGCCTCATAGAGTGGAACTAGAAACAACTACAGATTTTGGCTCTTTGTTTTTTGTTTTTCAAATTAAGCTTTTTTAAAAAATTAACAAGCAGTTATTTTCTGTCTCTTCTACCACACTGAGGAAAAAAAAAGAAAAATATCTAGCCTCACTTTTTAACTGTGTGGCCCTGGGCCCGTCACTTAAGCACTGCCTGCCTCAGTTTTCCCATCAGTAAAGTGGGGATAATAACAGTACCTACTTCCCAGGGTTGTTGTGAGGATCAAGTGAGATAATAATTGTAACACATCTGGCATTCATTAGGCACCATATAAATGCTAGCTATGTTTGCTGTTATTATCAGAACCAGGATTAGATCAGAAGATGTCAGAGTTGGGAGGGACAGGCTGGAGAGTTCCGCTATCTCTCTGAGCTTCAGGCATCCCCTGTCTCTGATGCTGATTCACAGGCTGAGGAATAAATCATTTCTTTTTCTTTCCTTTTGGTTGGACTTTGAACTTAGGTAGTACAGAAACTGACACAAATGATTGGGAAGAATGTGAAACTCTACGACATGGTGTTGCAGTTCCTTCGAACCTTATTCCTGCGGACAAGGAATGTCCATTACTGTACCTTGAGGGCTGAGCTGCTAATGTCATTACATGACCTGGACATCAGTGATATTTGCATGGTGGATCCGTGCCATAAGGTACCAGATATAAATACTGTGGGACCTCCATCAGGTTTATGTTAATATGTCAGCACATGCCACATGCAGGCTGTTAAGCAGCTGGTGGATCTGTCATGTGACCCCAAACCGGGAAAATGCTGATGTCATCACAGACAAGATCATAATGACGTCTGCCTTTTCTGTTTCTGAGTTGTCAGGTCAGTGAGGATTTCCCTAGAATGATTGGACTTTCATATCGTCTTTCTTACCTCTTGGCACTTCTGCTACTAGTCTTAAGCTTACTGATTATGATGAGCTAATTAACATTGATGAGAAACAAAATCCAATTGTAAACCACTATTTTAGCCTTTGAATTGCCCTAAAGTATTGTTTGAAAAACACTTATGTGGGGCTCATTGCTAAGATTACAGTAGTCCAAACAAATGTGAATGATAGTTACTGGGAAGTATTAGACCAGACCTGAATGCTTCCTGATCTAACCCCTACACTAGAGCTTAAGCAGGGGTTATAGGGAAGGAGAGCCTACTGCTCATGAAATTCCGTTTATTTTAAAGGAAACAAGGTGTCTGAGAGGTGTTCTTAACGTTTGGGACTCTAGAACTTAATTGCTCCTATTTTAGAAATGAGAAAAACTAAAATGTGTCCGTGGTTTTTGCCTCTTAAAAGATTTCTCAGAAGGGTAAGAAGGGTGTGAGACAGCATCCTTATTTTGAACTGATCCATCCTTCTGATTACTTCAGACCTCTCTGTGTGTATAAAGTGATACTGTCTGAAGCATGATAAAGAGAAAGGGTTATCCCTGCTCTGGGGGAAAGGAGCCACCTGTAGACCCTCCAGATTTTTTGTTTTGGTTTTTTAATATATTATTTATTTTAACAAGCATGTATTATCTTTCCTACTGTTCTCTTCTCACCCCTTTATCAATTGAATAATAAAATAAAAATGAAAAATAAAATCCTCATAACAAATTATGCATAATCCAGCAAAACAAATCCCCACATTGACCTCTCTGTATTTTAATAGACCCTCAGAGCTAACCTAGCTTTCTGTTTCTCTAATCAAAATTCTACCACTTGGCCAAAGATGACCAGTTAAAACTTTTTGTTGTTATTTTACTGACATCCTTTGTTTTTTATACAGTTATTTCTCCCTTAATTCCTGTCTACTAATTGTTTGTCAGTTTAAAAAACAACATTTAAGCATAACCAACTGGCATGTCTACTGAGTTTGACAGTGTATGTCTGTCAGTCATATTCTATATCTGGAGCCCCCATCCTCTTTACTGATAGGAGAGAGCTGTGTTTTACCATCAGTTTTCTGGACTTACATAAGCTCTTTGCAGGAAGGGATTATTTCATCCTTCATACATGAACACCCAATACCTAGTGCAGGGCTTAGCATATAGTAGTTGCTTAATAATTGCTTTTTAATTCATTGGACTGAGATTGGTCATTAATGCTTAATTGTTTTGACCTAGGCTTTTAACCTTACAGGGCTCTAATACTTCAGTTTCACCCATAGGAGAGTAGTGCCCTTTTCCTTGTCCCAATTTTCTCTTAAAATTTCAAAGCTAGTTCTACAAAATAGTATACTAACCTTTTCATGTTTACTGAATAACTACAACAAACAGGGCAGAAAAGTATTTGCTTTTCCTTGTGTCTTAATCATAATTAGAGAAATATGTAAACATTCTAGTATCAGCTAATTAATCTTTGAAAAATACCTTTTTTTTTTTTAACACCTAGAGTATTTATGTTACAAGGTTTGGTTTAGCCAGTTGGAAAAGGGTGAATTGTGAAACCTGGTTACATTTAGAAAAAAGGCTTGTATATAACCCTACCATTAGAAGACATATCCTTTGAGTTTGTCCCTGTGGTTTATTCACCATACAGTTCACCTGGTGTCTTGATGCTTGCATCCGAGAAAAGTTTGTTGATAATAAGAGAGCTCGGGAGCTGCAGGGATTCCTGGATGGAGTGAAGAAAGGTCAAGAGCAAGTGTTGGGGTGAGTGGAATTATCTCAGGCACATATAATACAAATAGCATTAATAGCATGATGCAGTGGAAAGAACGATGAATTTGAAGCCAGAAGACCTCGGTGTGATCTTGGCTCTACCTCTTCCTACTGTGGTGCTTTTGGCAAGTCACTTAACCTCTCTAGGCCTCAGTTTCCTCATTTGTAAATTAAAATGTTGAAATAGATGACCTCTGAGGTTCCTTCCAGATCTGAACAATGATTCTTTCAAGCTTCGCTGTCCTTATAATAGCCTATTAAGTAAATTACTCCTTTCCTCCCACACCTTTCCCTAGCATATTGTCACTCTTAATTAATAAATTTATTTATGGGGTTTTATCTTAGGCATCACTTCCTTTCAAGCAGGGACTGACAAGCAAGACCTTGCTTCTATTTTAGAGCGTTTATGTACCTGGTTCTAGTTGTAAGGAGTGGATTTTGAACTTTACTGTGATAATTAGGGGGTTTGGGTCCAATCATGTTGTAATTCTTTGCCTTTCGAACATTTTCACAATCTCACAAGGAGAATTTTTTATGAGGCGTTTTTCTTGGCATTAAATATTCTATTAAATGGGGCGTCCTATGTGCGACAATGCTTGATAAATGTTCACTTAACTTTTATGTATTCTTCTTGTGACCACTGGAAGGATTCAGAATTTGAGGTACCTGTTTTTTACCCAACTTCAAGCCTGGATAAGGCTTTTAGAACCAAAGTTCGACTTAGTAGGTGGTCAAATTAAGGAGGTAAAGTAGTTTTATTTTCATCTCTTAAAGATCGTTTATATCGATTATAGACGATACTAAGATTTTTTTTTAAATAAGTTTCAGAAACATAGTGGGGGTTTTTTGGTTTCCTTTTTGTTTTAGGATAACCTGATTGTTCTGTCCAGAAATAACACTTCTAGCTGATGTGAACAGATTTGTTTACTTGAAGCCCAGTCTGTAAATTGTAGATTAATGGTTCTGGAAGAACAGTGTGATGTGGTAGAAATATCAGTTAACTAGAAGTCAGGAGATTGTATGTTCTGGTCTCAGTTCTGCCAGTAACTGGCTGTGTAACCTTGGGCAGGTTACTTTCCCTTTTGGGGTTTCTCATTGTCCTCTTAAACTGAGGGAGTTCTTTTAGAGACTCTCTGACATCCTTTAGAGCAGAGGTATCAAACAGGCCACCCAGATAAGATTAGGATATGTTTAGGAAATATTTAACAAAATAACTGAAAACACAATTTATGATTAACATGTGATTTTTTTAAAGTTAATGTGCAGTACAGGGATCCTTATTTTCGGTTTTGTGGCCCTTCGGTTTGTTACCACTGCTTTAAATGGCACTAACTTTCTGTGTCTTAGTTTAAGTTCTTTCCTCTCCTGGGGCTGTGCTATGACCATTGATTAAAAATGAAGTAATGTTTCTTTAAGAATATGAACCGATTGGTTGTTAGCTCTGTGTGGGATGTCTTTAATCTGGGAATATAAACTTATCACTTGTTCCTTTCAGTGATTTGTCTATGATTCTATGTGATCCCTTTGCGATTAATACGCTGTCCTTGAGCACCATAAGACATCTGCAAGAACTGGTGGGTCAGGAAACCTTACCCAGGGTGAGTGGCAGAAACTGAAGAGGACATAACCTGAGTTAGCCTTGCCTTTGTTATGAAAAGAAAGCTAGCTGATAGAATCAGCTATAAGTTCTTGTTCAGCTAGTGGCAAATGCCTAAAGACTATTTGGGAGTGGATGTTTTAGGCTTATGCTTCCCGTTTCTACTATAGTGGCTTAAAATAAAAGCCCATGTATAAAGAGAAAAAAATCTTTGCATCAAGTTTCTCTGATTAAGGTCTCATTTCTAAGATATATAGGGAACTGATTCAAACTTAAAAGAATAAGAGCCATACCCCAGTTGATAAATGGTCAAAGGATATGAACAAGCAGTATTTAGAAGTTGAAATCCAAGCAATCAAAAGCCATATGAAAAAATTCTCTAATCACTAATAATTAGAGAAATGAAAATTAAAACAATGTTGAGGTTCTGCCTCACCCCCATTAGATTGGCAAAGATAACCAAAAAAGGAAAATGGCAGATACTCCTGGGGGTATGGGAAAACAAATACATTAATGTACTGTTGGTGTATCTGTGAAGTGATCCAACCATTCTAGAAAGCAATTCATAACTCTACCCCAAAAGCTATTAAACTGTGCATACTCTTTGACCTAACAATACAATTAACTGGGTCTATACCTTAAAGATAACAAAAAAAGAGGAAAATCAAAATGCTTATATCAGCTGTTTTTGTGGTGGCAAAAAACTGGAAACTGAGGGTGTGTCTATCTATTGAGGAATGGTTGAACAAATTATGGTATATAAATGTGATGTAATATTGTCCTTTAAGAAATGATGATAGGAACAGTTTCAGAGAAACCGTGAGAAGATATATATGAACTGATGCAGAGGGAAGTGAGCAGAACCAGGAGAACAATTCATACCATAACAATAATATAAAAGCAAATGACTTTGGAAGACTCAAGAACTCTGATCCATCCAATGACCAACCACAATTGTAGAGGATTCATGATGAGATATGCTCCCCACCTCCTGATGGGATTTAGTATAGATCGAGTCAGATAGATTTTTTTGGATATGGCCAATGTGGAAATTTTGCTTGACCATACATATATATATATATTATAAAGGCCTTATTTTTCTGTCCCTTTCAATTAGAGGCAGGTAGGAGGAAGAGAAAGAGGATTTTGGTTAATTGAAAAAGAAAATGTAATTAAATAAAAGTCCATGTAGAAGGAATAATTCACCTCACTTGATTGAAAGGTTGACTTTTTTTTTTGGTTGAAATAACTTGTGCATGTGAATAGAGGGTGAAGCTGACACTTTTTAAATGTAACTGAAACTTTTTCTTCTTAATATTGTTACCATATCCCAATGACATCTCCTGCTTCTAGAAGAATGCTTCTTTATAGCAAAGAATTGTAGTTAAGCAAAATGAAGGAACATATTGATCATGTGTGACAGTACCTGCATTAGTCTGCATCATCACCTCTTTGCCAAAAAGTGAGAAATATATTTCCCTGTTGGTCTTCTGAAGTCACTGTATTGATTAGCATTTGGATGTCTTTCATTGTTCATATTGTGTGGACATATAGGCTGTTTTCTTGGTTCTGTGAAACTGATACTTTTAGCAATAAGTGAAAATAAACCAGTTTCTGATAAAAGTGCACTTGTTAAAGATTGTAAACAAATAGAATGAGAGCAGTTAAACAATTTTTTTTTCTATATTTACAGGAAAGTCCTGATCTGCTTTTACTGCTAAGAATGCTCTCCCTGGGACAGGGGGCTTGGGACATGATTGACAGTCAGGTCTTCAAGGAGCCAAAGATGGTAATTTGTTTTAATTTATCTGAATCTTCTCTTTAGTTAGGCATAAGGCTGTGATAGAGTACTGCTAGGATTTGAGAGACTTGGGTTCAAATCCCAGCTCTAGTTATATGAGTTTAGACAAGTCACTTCCCTTTTTGGAGACTCATTTTTTTTTTCATGTTTCTGATGTGGGCAGGAAGTTAGAGCAGAATCATGTTATCTCTAAGGTTTCTTCTAGCTATAACGTTTAGAGTGTAATTCTGTGACGAGGCTCATGACTGGGCCCATGGTGGGGTATGGGGAGAACTCTGCCTTTGGAAGTTGATTCCTCTGTCTCGGAGGACAGAACTTAGGGTAATGGATTGAAGAAACAGACTTTGGCCGAATGTAAGAAGCAAATTCCTAACTATTAGAACTGTCCAAAACTGGAATAGACTACTTCCAGAAAGAAGTAAATTTCCCATCACTGGCTGCTTCTATATGGAGGCTTGTTGACCACTTGTCAGGAATGGTATAAAGGAGATTCCCATTTAGGTGTGGGTTGGACTAGATGGCTGCAGTGGTCCTTTCCATCACTCTGCGACTTTGTACTATGATTACCAAATGTCTAGGCCTTTATTTATAGTAAACTGTCTCTATAAGTAACACAAGACATATTGTTAAGTGGTTAATCTTTTGAACTTCTTGGTCAGGCAGAATCATTCTTTAATGAATACACTTTCTAGTGCTACCAGTGAGCATTTGTGCTGAGGCCGGTTTGATGTGAACACCTTTTGGAATTTTTGGATTGCCTTGTATTAGAACACAACATTCCATCAAAAGAAAAAGCTATAAGCCCTGACTTATTCATTCTAAAATGAAACTTACACTTGAACCCACTGTCTTCTTGGCTTTTCTGTCAGCATAAAGTAAATAAATACCTTGAGATTGTGCAGTCATAGTAATAAGTAATGGTAACAATTGAATTACATAAGGAATATTTTATAACATAAATTTTGATATTTTAAAATTATTTTAAATATTTTTGTGATTTTTCTTGTGAGCCCTTTAAACAGAAGCTGGTTCAGTCCTCCTCATTTATGAGATTGAGAAAGCTGAAGCCCTGAGAAATTAATTACCCAAGGTCACAAAGTATGTTGCTAGCCAAGACAGAATTTGTACTTCTAATTGTTTGGTTTCTGTTTTGCTCCTGGGCTGCTTACCTGTGACTTCATAGCAGTGTTTGTTCCTTTGAATGTGTTTGTCATACATAAAACTCGCAGTATCAGGGGAGCCTGCGTTAAAAGCTTAGACAAGCATCATTTGGATCTTTATAGTCAGTTTTGTTTTGTAAAATTACCATTTAAGTTAACTTTAATCTTAATTGTGCATTGAATAAGTCTTTATTAATCATTTACTGTAGGCCATGCTTTGTGCTGTGGTGTGGTGGATTCAAAGAAGTGTGGGTCTCTGCCCAGCTCTCACAGTTCACAGTCTCACTGGGGTTTACTATTGCCACAAAACAATTAGAGGATAATGTAGAAAGAAACTCTGTAGTGCCTAAGTATGTGGTCCTGGAATAAGGACTTTAGGAGTGTAAAAATGGGAGAGATGGAATAGGCTGGAGTATTCTGGGAAGGCTTCTTAGAGGGGATGCAGCTTGTGTCTGAAGGATAAGTAGAATTTGGGTGGGATTGGCATAAAGGGAAAGACATCTAGACAGGTAACAGGGGATAAGCAAGGTACCTGCTGCTGGGAAACCAGCCTGGGTGGGAGATATGTGTTAGGGAAAAATAGGCAATAAAATTGGGGGAAAAGGACTGAATAAAATTATGGAAGACCTTCAATACCTGGGTGGGGAGTTTGGACTTGAACAGGATTTTGTTTTATTTCCACTTGGGCTGAAAAGGACTTTTAATCTAAACTTTTTTCTTTCTTCTCCAGGAAGTGGAGCTGATCACTAGGTTTTTGCCAATGCTTATGTCTTTTGTGGTGGATGACTATACTTTCAATGTAGATCAGAAACTACCAACAGAAGAGAAGGCATCAGTCACATACCCTAACACCCTTCCTGAAAGCTTTACCAAGTATGTCAATCAAATGATCAATAATGTTGAAAAGAACATCTGAACAAAATAATGCAAAGCTTTTAGGCAGTGAGCTTTATAATGGTTCATTGTTTAAGGCATCTTAAAAACCTTTTGAAAATATACTTAAAGAAAAGGAGCAGATGGAGCTATACTTTTAGTGGATTCTAGATGGAAACATTGTGTTATAGTGTTTAAATTATCTAGTCCTAAAGATTTGCCAATGCTGTTATTTCAGATAACTTGTCAGAAACCACAGAAATATAACCTCTATAACCAATAATAATATACTATATCATTGGGTTTAATATGATATGTAAGGTATCAGTATGGACAGATGAGCAAAGATATTGATGTATTGTTGATATGATCTTTTGCAGGTTCTTGCAGGAGCATAGGATGGCCTGTGAAATGGGGCTTTATTATGTCCTTCACATAACAAAGCAAAGGAATAAAAATGCTTTTCTCCGACTTTTGCCTGGATTAGGTGAGTCTTAGCTTGTTCACTTTTTCTCATCAAAGTGTTATGGGTGAGGACAAAAGGGAATCTAGATCAGAGATTGATGTCAAAGGGCCCTAATGTAAGGTGCATACTGGGACAGGGAATAGCACGTTGTGAAGAACAACTGGCATTTGTAGTGGTGTAGTGGAAAGAGTACTGTGGACTTGGAATCAGGAAACCTTGAATCCTGCCTCTAATAATTGTTAATCATATTGAGTCTCAGTTTCCAAATCTGAAAAATGATGATGATAATACCTGTAGCACTTACCTTATGGGTTTGTTGTGAGGATCAAATGAAATAATGTACGTAAAGTGCTTTGTAAACTTGCCCAAGGTCACACAATAGTAAGTAGCAAAACTAGGATTTGAAACCTTACCTTTGATTCTCAAGCTCAGTGCTCTTTCCCCTCTACTCTGTTGTAGAAAGAAGAGTACAAAGCCTTGACTCTTGGAAGCAGGTGCAGAAGTTATGTCTTTGGGGTCATGCTTAATTTTGGTTTTGTGGGGTCATGAGGAATGGGGGAAAGAGGGAACCTATTCTACAGACTTGGCCCTGGTGTCAGAAATGTAGGTATTTTTGGCTATCTGGTGCCAGCTTTTCAACCCCAAGGTAAGGCAGCCAGTCTTTTGTTAACATCCACTATGTGCCAGGCACTTTGGCAAGCACTCTTGATACTAATACAAGCAAAAAGAAAGACAATCCCTGCCCCCAAGAAGCTTATGTTCTACCAAAGGTAGCTGAAAGAGAGGTAGGTAGAGTAGGAAGAAAGATATCGAGTAGGGGAAAGGGTGTAGAAGTCTAGCTAGGCAGAAGCAGGATCAGAAGGGACATGAACGTTGGCCAGTCAGGGTCCCTCAGGGCAGACTAAACTTCCAGGGTTGAGAAGTCCACAGGAGTGTTTGGGTGAGGGAAGTTTCAGAGTAAGGCTGCAGCTGACATTGCAAAGTTCAGAAAGTCAGAAGCAGAGCCAGGAGGGCCAGATAACTCACCCTAACTTTAAAGACTTTTTCTAGGGTGGGAATGGTGGAAGGACGGTGTATGAATGGATGCTGTGCAACCTAGTTAACTTTCTGCTAATTATAGAGTAATTATTAAGAATTAGACTTATATATTTTTGGACCTGGCCAGTATGAGAATTTGTTTTGCCTGACTATGAATACTTATTATAAAGGTTTTCTTTGTTCACTGGGGAGGAGTGTTATGGAAATGGGAAGGATTAGCAATAGGAAGAGTTGTCAGAAAAAAAGAAACAGAAAAGAGGGCCATTGAAACAGTTTTTCTAATGCACGGAAGAGTAGAAGGAAGTCTAGAAAGAAACAAACAAGAAAGACAACTTTGAAAGTTAACTTGTTGAATTTATTATGTACTTAAAAGGAAAAGTAAGCTGTACATAATAGATTGTCAGTTTTGTGGATAATCATATTTTTCTACTTTACATGCAGAAATGTTAATTTTTATGTGGTGTTAAGTTCAGAATTTAAAAATTTATTTTTTATACAAAGAAATTATTTCTTGAAGACTCTGTGGTTAGTTAACCCCCCATTACTGTTGCAGTGGAGACATTCGGAGACCTGGCCTTCAGTGATATATTCCTTCACCTGCTCACTGGGAACCTTACTCTGCTGGCAGATGAATTTGCTGTGGAAGAATTCTGTACCAGTTTATTTGATGGATTTTTCCTCACCTGCCTCTCAAGGTAACTTAGTTGTAGAGATGTTAATATAAAGTGCTTCCAGAACAAGCTTATGTTGTATTGCATCCTTTTCAAGATCATTTGGCTCAATTCTGACTGGTTTTTACTCAGTCTCTTGAATATTGTTCATCTAAAATGATCCATGTGGGAATCTTTTCTGGAATAGCACTTTCTTTAGGTTTTTGAGGACTAGAAAGAATTAAGACTAGCCAGTCTTGTTGAAACATGTCCTTCATGAGAGACTCTAATTCTAATGTTTGCCAGAGTGTGAGGATCAAGATGTTTCTGAATAGAGGAAGGTGCTACAGACACGAAGGGGCCCCCATATTAGGTAGCACAAGTTTTATCTCCATTCTTCATTTTCCTGAAACGCCAGCCAATCTACCTTTACTTTCTTGGATGCCTGCCTAGTTCAGCCACCTATTCTATCCTGTGGGGAGGGGAAATGATACTTGGTTCTTTTTTCTCTAGAAAGGAGAATGTACACCGCCATGTTCTCAGGCTCCTGATTCACCTGCATCACAAAGTGGCCCCTACTAAATTGGAATCCCTCCAAAAGACTTTGGAACCTACCAGTCAGGTGAGCTTGTTGGTTAGCTCTTTGTTGATTATATTTTTAAAAGCTTGAAGAAGAGCGCTTTTAGACTTGAAATCCAGATCCTGTCCCCAGCCTCCTGCTAAATGGAGAAAGTCTGCTCTATTTAGATAGCAGCTTCTGAAGTGTAATTACTTTCAAGTTTTAATTATATCTTAAACACATCTCAGTTGTCTGTGTTAAAACACTTGGGTAATAATACGATTTACTGTTTTTAGTAGTAACAACCTAAAACCAAAAGTATGACTTTCATCTTCTTTTCCTTCTTTTTCTGCAGAGTGGGGAGGCTGTGAAGGATCTTTACAACCAGCTTGGAGAGAAACTGGAACACCTGGAACATTGCAAACCCAGTCCAGCCCAGGCGGTGGAAGCTCCTGCTTTAGAGCTACCTCTTCCTGCTGTCCCAACTCCAGCAGCGCTTTGAGGTGCTCTGACCCTGGCCTCGGTCGTGGTTATGGTACCTGAGGACATGTAGTTTTCCATAGCCCTTGAAGGTTGGGGAATTGTTTGTCATCACTACACTGTGAAGAATTTCCTGAGGACTTTATATTGAATGCTGAAGTTTTGTTAGTGTTACAAAGTCTGTGCAGTTAGCAGATCCTAGCTTCGTCAAGGCCAGTGGGAAGGGTCTGAAGATAGTGTGTATGTGTCTACACAGAAATCCAAGAGGTTTCTTCCTTATTAGGGAACGAATTGGTGGAAGATAAGAATCGTTCACCTCTCTTAACCTGAGTTATTCAAAGTGGTCATGGTGGTTTCAGTGCAGTGTTGGGTGAATGTGCGTGATAAAAAGCAAAATGTCATAGAGTCTTCATGAGCCTCTTTGATAGATAAGTACAGAATTGAATAATTCTATAATCTAGGCTTCCAGTTAGATTGGAATTATTTGTTTAGAATTTTATTCATTGTTCCATTTCTGGCCTACTATGTAACCTTTATATAGGCAACCTCTGTGCCTTAGTTTCTTTGTCTGTGAGATGAAGATGATAATATGTGCCCCTTTAGAACTAGATCATTCTTTAGTGGCTGATGGATTTAGAGAGTTTTTAAAAAAAACCTTTTTTTTTTTTTAAACTCTGGGATGGCCTCTCAGGTCAGGAGGAAAAGTATTTTAGGAGTTCTTTCCCCCTCCTCCCCCTACTGTTGCTGCTGGATTCCTGGAATTGGGTCATAGGACCAAAAGATACTTGCGTTTTTTACTCTCTGGCAGACCTCTTTAGACCTCAGCCTTGATGTTGTGTTTTATACTTGCAGCCTTAGAAGGCTGTGTGGATTTTTTTTTTTAAGACTTGGTCTCTCTGTCTCACCCAAGCTGTAAGAATAGCAGCCACTCACAGACCTCACCTTGCTGCTGATGAGAATGGAAGTTTTGACCTGCTCTGTTTCCAGCCTGGGCTGGTTCGCCACTTCTTAGGCAGCCTTGTGGCTCTCTGCTTCCAGGGACTCACCATATCGGTGCCAGACTTAGTGCAGACACCCGTCAGCTTTAGCCCTTCCTACGGCAGCTCAGAACTCTGGAACCCAAGTGACCCACCAGACTTAGCCTCCAGCAGCAGGGACTACGGGGGTTTGCCATGGCGCTCAGCCTCTCAGAAGTCTTATGTGTTTTCTTACGTTTTTAAATGCCTTGGAGAACTTCTTGGCTCTTATTTTGTTTTGTTGGTTTTTAATTACTATAATAAAGGTGGAAGGACAGTAGTTACATAGGTTAAAAAGGCAGCTTCTGTTTTATGCAAGAATAGAACCAACCATGTGTTCACATAGTCATCTCCATCTTGGAGGTGTCAGAGCTGAACCTTGGACACTTCCTTTAATGAAAGAGGAATTAGATACTTAGGCCTCACTAGAAGGGCTTCACTTTGAACTGTTAAGCTGCCTCCTAAAACCCCACGTTGGCAGCTGTGAGACCTGATAAAAGAAAGGGACTATTTCAGTCTGATTCCTCAAGTGGACGATAGGGCTTCTGAATTCACAGAACAGTCAAACCACATTAGTTTGGGGGAGTATGCCTTGAACTGGTGAACATTCAAATTATATATACTGTCAAAGAAATAGTCTAGTACTTTCCAGTAAATGCTGGAATCAGTGCTAAATTTTCAGGCATTATTATGTAGAATCACTTAGATGATCATTAGGAAATGATGTATATGAAAACAAGTGCTTCTTTAACAATTGAAAACAATTTGTTCTCAGGTTGGTCACCTCTCTATCCCTACAAAACAAATCTTTTTTTTGTTTTAACTTCAAGAATTTGCTTAGCAGGTCCTTGACAGGTTGCACAAATTTATGTAATACATTACATACTTACATAAATTACATACTTTATTTTGGGCCCAGCCATCCCAAACCGAAAGTGACTAAGGCCTGAGTAATTGAAATACTGTACTTGACAGCCTCCGCAGTCACGACGGCAGTTCTGCTGCCAGTTGTATAGCTACAAACAACATCAGCCAAATAGTCTAGAAGCTGCTTTCCTGGCCTGTGTGTGAAGAGAAGCTGAGAGCCTAAATGACAGTACCAGGGGCTCTGGATGTGTCCGAGCTTGCATTGCTCTTGTGTAGCTGCGAGGCCACCTGTGCCCAACAGGTGTGTGGGAGGGGCGTAGCAGAGAGGGAGTGGGGGGAATTGTCCCCATAGAAGGTATTAAGACAGTGACTATGCTGGGCTGGGGCTCCTGCAGGAGCTGGGGGTGGGGTGGGGTGGCAGAGTTTGATCAGCTTCAGAATGTCAGGTATCCCCAGAAACAGCCACTCTGCCACATGTGGCCAGATTTCCTCTTACCTTTCAGATTCAGAAGCCTCCAAACTTCCGTCAGTTTGACGCTTTATTATCTTGGCTCCTGCCCAGAATAACTCTCCTTAGCAGTGTGTTCTCTGCAGCCACTGTTTGCTTTGATCCTAGGTCTGAATTCCTAGTAAAGGGAAGGACTAGACCTTTGATGTCATGATATAGGGAACCGCAGGTGAGGAAACTTCTACCGGGGCAGGGCTGCCCCTTCCCTGCAACTTCTAGTCCTACAGAATCACCTTCAGCACTGAGAGGTTCAGTGCCTTGTCCAGGGTCATACAGCTAGTACGTGTCAGAAATGGAACTTGAATCCAGGGCTTCCTGGCTTTGAGGCCAGCATTATCACCACCATGCCATGTTGCCCCTAGAGTTGCGAATACACATGATAAAATTCTCTCACAGTCGTGTAAATGGATGTTGATATGGTTTTATCTTAAAACCATAATCAGTAAGGCCATAGGAGAAAATATGCCAAGTATATTCTTTACTTTGTAGATTGTTTTGCATAGGTGCCTGCTATGAATAAATAAGGGCTTCTCCTAATGTTTTTGGGACATCTTGTATAGATGAGACAGTTTTCTGAGGGGAAAGTTGCTAAATAATTTTTTTTTTCATTTATGGAGATAAAAAGTGGTTTTAGTAAGTAACCTACAGAAAATGTTTTTCTTAGGCATGATAATCACATCAGAAAGGAAAGCTGGATGTTTTGGAGGAGAGAGGACTGGATTGGTTTCTGAGTGACTTTCAAGTTCTAGACCTGCCACTGCTTCTCTGTGATCTTTGGTCCTGTCCCCCTAGTGCTCTGGGCCTCAGTTTCCTTTGCTAAAAAATGAAGTTGGACTGGGTGATTTTGAAGAGCCCTGCCAGCTTAGACATTTTATGACTCCATGAGTTAGAGAGTTTGACTACAGAGCAGAAATTTTAAAAAAATCCAAAAACGTAGGACAACCCTCTAGCTTGCATCTTGTGGTTAAATACTGTCATGTAAACTATTTAAAGTGTGCCTGTGTTTATAAGTGTGCATGTGCTGGCATGTACATGTGTAATTAGCACTGATTATTAATAGTACCTTCCAGACTGCCAGGGTCTGCATGATACATACTTTATTTTCCTCGAGGGCTGCATGATACATACTTTATTTTCCTCGAGGGCCAAAGATTCTAGTTCTAAGAAGGCAGACTTCAGGGGAGAGTCTCAGTTCTTCCCTTAATGATTGTAGAAAAAAGAATTTTGTGAGCATGAAGATAATTTACTTTTTATATTAAAATTGCTTTTAATTTTTTAAAAAATGCTGTCGATGAAAAGAGATAACACATAGAAATGTACATTCAAAGTCTTAGCACTAGCTTGGTTTGAACAAATAGTACATTGTCATTACCCATTACAATCAGGCTTCCTCCTAAGTTAGTGAGAATCTACCATTAGAAGTGTTCAGTCACGGCCTGGATTCCTACTTCACTAGATGTTAAAGCTAGAAGGCACCTCTGAAGTCCCTCTCCTTCATGGTGACGTGCTTTGCCGAAGGTCACACTTCTAGTAAGTGGCACAATGGGGATTCGAACCCAGATTTGCAAACTAACTCTGAAGTCAGATGTCTTCTTTGATGAAGTCAAAAGATGTCAAAAATAAATTTAGAAGATACCACACACACACACACACACACAGAGCTTTACCTCCAGTCATCTGGAGAATGGGTTTCCTTTCCTTGTGAAGATAGCATGATGTAGTCATAGTGGAAAGAACTCTGAACTTAGAATCAGAACCTGACTTGGACTAGTGAAACAGTTCCTTTAACTTGCAACATGACCTTAATCACTTACTTCTTTGAACCTTAGTTTACTAAAGTTAATTTTATTTGTACTCACTACGTCACAGGGTTGTAGAGAAAGCACTTTAAATCTTTTTTTTTTTTGGTGAGGCAGTGGAGTGAAGTGACTTGCCCAGGGTCACACAGCTAGCAAGTGTCAAGTATCTAAGGCCAGATTTGAACTCAGATCTTCCTGAGTCCAGCGCTGGTGCTCTATCCACTGTGCCATCCAGCTTCCCCACACACTGTAACTCTTAAAGCACTGTGTAAATGTGGGTTGCTGTTATTTTCTTACTCTTCATTGTTGAAATGATTACTAGAATGTATATAGCAGTAGATGCGTTTGGGGGGAGGGCAAGGCATTATTGCTTTAAATACCTGGGTTGGCTATAGGCTGTTATACTTAGCTGAAGATCCAGCCTTATCTTTAGTCCCTCAACCTTTAGTAGTGCTTTAGAGTTTACAAAGCACTTGCATCTAACATGGTCTCCTCAGACCCAAATAACAACCCAATGAGGTGGTAAGTAGGTGGTATTATCCTCATTTTACAGATGAAGAAACTGGCAAGGAGTTTATAGCTTGTTCAAGATCATATAGTAAGTAACCGTGCTGTGACCTGAACCCAGGTGTCCTAACTCCATGTCCAGTTCTCTTTTGAAATGCTGTAGTAATTGAAACTGATGACCAGAATAGTCGCCTCTCTGGACTGAAATTTGTATGCAATTGCTAGGCTCATCTCCAGGCTCCTTTCCCTTTTGCTTCAGTCCTCTGGTGCTTGGAAGGTTTTATCAAGTCCTGGTTGTAAAAGTTTCCACTTCCCAAAGAGTTGCTGAAAGCTACTTCCTAAAGCTTGAGTCTTGTTTCCTAGGGCCCAAGTCCCTAACCCAGCCACTATCCTGGAATCCAGACATGGCTGTACTTGACGGAAGTACAAAGCTGGGGCATTTCAGGGAGCAGAACTCGATGTTTACCCAGAGCTCTGTCCTCAGAGAATATTGGTTCTGGTCCTGTTTGACCAAAGGATTGAGAGGACCAGGGCCCTTAACTGACCATTGACCCTTAACTGGGTCCAAGTTGACTGGAGAGGAGATTGTCACTGAATCAAAAGGACAAAACAGAAGAACTCACTGCCTAAGCATTAATTAGGACAGTGATAACTGTCTTCTGTTTCTGTATGCCTTTTGCAAAAATGTAACGTGATTACAATGCTAAGTCCTTAGTAATGAACATCTCGAAAGGAACAGAACTAGGATAACTGACTCACAGCTGTTATTGTCTGCATTAACTCATCCCACCTGCAGCCCTAATGAGGACTTGTGGCACAAATAAATCAACCAGGCCCTGGGCCATCGGTGCTGTTGCAGTCTTGGTTATTGTGTTTGCACCTCTTGAGTTACTTTTACTTGTTCATTCATTCAGCAAACATCTACTGACCCTTCTATGTGTAGGGACCTCTGAAAGACCCCAAGAGGGGTTCAGAAATAAAAGAGAGTATATTTTAAGAATCCCACAGTGCATACTAAGAAAGGTAAGACACATCTGTCAAACTTATTGAGAGGCATAAAGGGCTAGGGGCATCTAGTAAGACCACTTTTAAAAAAAATTTTCCCACTTAATAAAATTTTATTTTTTCCAATTATATGTAAAGATAATTTTCAACATTTGCTTTTATAAGATTTTGAGTTCCAAATTTTTTTCTCCCTCCCCTCCCCCCTCCCTAAGATAGCAAGCAATCTGATATAGGCTATGCATGTACAATCATACTAAACATATTTCCACATTAGTCATGTCACGATAGAAGAATCGGAACAAAATGGGAAAACTATGAGAAAGAAAAAACAAAAGAAGATAAAATAGTATTCTTTGATCTGCATTCAGACTCCATAGTTCTTTCTTGGGATGTGGATAGCATTTTCCATTATGACTCTTTTGGAATTGAGTAAGACCACTTTTAACCCAGGACATTGGCAGAGGTTTTGAAGAAGATGTATTTTAGTGCTGGAGTTGGTAGAATAGGCATGGATGCAGGTAGAAAGCTGGATTCTACATTCAAGGAAGATCATGAGCAGAGTCGGAAAGGAAAAGGGCATGATCAGAGAATGTGAAGAAGTGGAGGGTTCATGTAGGAGAATAGCCTATAAGTCTTAGGAGGTGGGGGCCAGATCAAAAGCCAATGGAAAATATTCTCCATCTTATGCCCTTTTGGACATAAACTAATAATCTAGATAATCAAGTTGCCACCTCTCTGTTTTATAAATCAGGAAACGGAACCAGAGAGGCCAAGTGATTTGGCCACAGTCACACAGGTAAGGCAAGTCATGTCATCTCTATGTCTGTTTTTTCATGTGTAAGAGAAGTTATTTGGATTATCTGGCTTTCTGTATATGAGAAGCAACATTATGCAGTAAATACCAAATTTGGATTCAGGAGACCTTAGGCAAATCACTTCCACTTTAGGGGTTATTTCCTCATTTGTAAGATGGAAGCAATGCACAAGTCTGATGGGCACCATCAGTAGCTTTCCATTCCCTGTGTTTGTAAGCACCACCCTTCCATTCTCCTGGGCTCACAACATACATGTCATCTTCAACTCCTCACTTTCTCACACCCCACCCCACCCTGCCCCCATATTCAAACTGTTGCCAAGGCCTGTTGATTTCACCTTTGCAACATCTGAATATGCATCCTTCTCTCCTTCAACACAGCTCCCACTCTAGTGCAGACCCTCCTAACCTCCTGCTTGGACTATTGCAGTAGCCTGCTGGTGGGTTTGCCTGCTTCAAGTTTCTCTCCACTGTCCATTTTCATTCTGCCACCAAAGTGATTTTCCTAAATTGAAGATCTGACTTTGTCACACCTCTAAACTCCAGTGGTTCCCTACAATTTCCAAAATACAAAATCCTCTGGCATTCAAAGCCCTTCATAACTGGTCATCCCTTCCCACCCCACCCCCTTTCCAGTCTTTACACACTCCTGCCTTCTGGCTATTGTACAAACGAGGTACTCCATCTCTCAGCTCTGAACATTTTCACTGGCTCTTCCTCATGTCCTCATCTCTCTCTCTTGGCTTCCTTCAAGCTCCAGATGAAATCCTCTCTTCCACAGGAAGCGCTTTCTAATCTCCCAATTCTAGTGCTTTACCTCTTATTTCCTATTTAATCCTGTGTTAGCTTATTTGCACATATCTGTTTTCTCTCCCATTAGACTGAGAGCTCCCTGAGGTTAGAGGCTCTTTTGCTTTTCATATCCTTAGCAACTAGCACAGTGCCAGGCAGATAGAACTTTGATACATATTTTTTGTCCCTCCCAGTCCCTGGACCCCCAGCCTCATTCAGGCATAGTATTTTTTGGAACTGCAGAACAAACCGTTGATCTCTCCACTGACCCATCATGCTTCAGAGAAGTCTTTATGGAAATCCACACTTACTCAGGAAATGCTCCCTGATCTCTCTTCAAATCAGAGCACTGAGAAAGAGATGTCCCCTAAGCAGCTGCCCTTTATGGTATGGCTATTGGGAAGTGAGGAATCAAGGAAGAGTTGACTCCTGGGTATATGGCTTTTGGCCTGGGTCTCACTGATCAAGTGGCCAGCTGGCATCATGTGCCCTTTGATGCCTCCCTCTGCCAAGGTGATATACTCCCAGAAAGGGTTTGTGTATCAGGTGCTAGACACTGAGAGCTGGAACAGCTTTCTATGGCAATAAATGGGGACTGGAAACATCTATTTTTCAGATACAAGGTTCTGAGCACCAAGGTTCTGGCTTTATTAAATGCAGGATCAGATGAGGGCCATGCATGACCGACGGACTTATGCTGGGTATTTAAAAGAAATCCTTGTATTCACTTTGGTAGTATATATACTAAAGGAAATCCTTATGTCATGGGCCAGGGAGTGGGGCTGAGAGACTTCCCTTTCTGGGTATAGTTATTGCCAGAGATATGCCACCATTCCCCTGTGCCCTCTTGCTTTGAAGAAAACATGGAGTGAGGTTGAGTAATGTGTAGAGAAAAATCTGTCTTTTCTTCTCAACTTCATGGTTCCCTGCCAAGAAAACTACTGGTTCTTTTTCCCTTGCTTATGTTTTCATTCCACATGTATATTCTCTGTCAGAAAGACACACCTCAGACGCTGGGATCTGTGGATATAATGTATTTTTTTTTTCCTTGCTAAGGTCTTGCTCTTGGGCAGAAATCTCAGCCCTGGTTTCTTTTATGGGATGTAGCTCCCATTCCTCTAATGCAGTTCAAGGCCAAGGACCAAGATCTGAGCTTAATTTGAGTTGCTCTGGGGCCCATTTGCTGGAACCAGTGCTATCCTGCATCCAAAATCCAAGTAACAGCCTGTGTTGTAACAGCTCCTTGTCTGTTCCTCCACTACTGCCAGCACGCTGGAGGGCTGTCACAGTTTCACAGGTGTATCAGGTTAAGCTTAGCTGCACAATTCGGAATTCTTGGTCCCTGAAGGTTGAGTTTCATGGGATAGTCAGGACGCCTGGCTTCCAGTCTCTTCTGTGCTTCTCTCCACGTCCTCCTCATCTGTAAAATGGTGGGTAGGGGAATCGGACCTGATTTTCTCCAAGGCCCTTCCAATTCTAATATTCCGTATTCTAGGGTGCTATAAAAATTCATCAAGAAATGCTGGCTCTGCAACCAAAAAAACGCTTGGGCAAAGATGCCCTTTATCTCGTCAGTTTGCAGGCTTAGTGGACCTGGGGTCGAGAGTCAGGAATCCATGGAGCTTGAAATTGGACACGAACCAATTCTGTTCTTTGGGAATTGGACTAGTAGCTCAATACCGAACCGAGTCGTGGCAGGGGGTACTCCCTGCAGGTTCTCCAGGGCGTTCGTTACGCATGGAGAGAGCACGCACCGAGGAGGGTGGTGTGGGATGCTGGTGGCGCGTGCGCGCGCGGACCTCTGCGAGTCCCTGCGCAAGCATCCTCTGCGGTAGCTGTGGCGCCCTTTCCCTTCCCCTCCCCCAGTTGCCCCCCTTTCCCCAGTACCCCCTTCCCCTTTCAGTGGGCATCTCCCAGCCCCAGAGGCCATGGAGACCGAGGTGCCCCGCATGGACCCCCGCCTCCTCCTTGTCCTCCTCTACGCGGTGATTCTCCAGGAATTACTCTGTGGCTGGATGGAGCTGCAGCGGCAGCGGGCCAAGCCCAAGAAGCAGGCGGGGCCGCTGTGGTCAGCCAGGTAGGGGAACGGCATTGCGGTGGGAGGGGGGAAGGGCGCTTCCCGGAGAGCAGGACCCCACTGTCATCCCTCAATTTCAAACTTCCTATATGGGGGTGGATGGCCCCAGGTCACCCGGACATAATTTGAGACCTTTATGATGTGAGATTTCTCCAAAGGTGCTCTGAAAGAGAAAAGCCTAAGAGGAGCTTATTCTGATAGAAGATGAAGGGAGGAGGAGGAAAATAGAGACCAAACCTCTTCTCAGGGTCAGGGTAGGGGGAATGCTTCTTGAGCTCGAGAGAAAGACCAGATGCGTCCCCTCTCTGGGTGTGCCATTGCCCTCCACGTTAGGGAGTAGACAGTGAACAGGTGCATTTAGAGCGCTACCTCATTGATTATTTTGTTTTTTTAATCAGGGACTTGGATAAGCTCTGATGGCTTATCAGATTTGCAAACGCCTTCAACCTGGGGGCAGATGGGCAGATACTGGATAACAAAATCCTTAGGCTGGCAATCAAATCCATTGATTGAATCTAAGGAAATTTAACTGGAATTAATGTTAAATCCTGAGTTTTTAAAAAATCAGTTTTCCAAGTGCCAGATGAGAAGGATGGACTAGACAGCAATCACTGTGAGAAAGGCTTAATTTATCATAAATGTGACTGAATGAGCATTATGAGGAGGCACCTAAGAAAAGCTAATGCAAACAGCTAATGTTCAGAATGAAGTAGCTGATAATTTTGTTGGCTTTTGCCTTGGTCAAACCCCAATTGGAGTATTAGGTCCATTTTGGGGGGAGTTTTGACTGTGTCCAGAGCAGGGTGACCAGGATCATGAGGGTAATGTGAACCCATGCCATACCAAAATTAGTTGAAGGCATTAAAGATGTGTAGTCTAGAGAAGAGACAAATTTGGGGATGGCACAGTTGTCTGTAAATGTGTGAAGGGCTGACATGGAAGAGAGACAGACTTGTTCTATCTAGCTCCTAAGAACTGTGTATTTCCAGGCTGCCCTGTTCCTACCCCTCTTCCAGGCATGAATTGCATCAACTATCCCAGTTAGGAAAAGTAGGAAGTAGAATAGTACAAAACTCATTCCTGTCAGGGTCCAAGAGCTCCTCAGTTCTAGTGCCTAGATTTGAGAGACAAAGCTCTTATTTTCCCCCTTCATCTTTACTGTGCTGTTCCAGTGGTCAATCTTGTCTCCACTGGGTTGCCCTATCTCCACACCAAAGGAGCATCACCTTGTCCACCTGTCTTCATGTGGTCATTCCCATTGCCGGCTTCATCCCTTGGTCTTTGTGGCTGTTGTTCTGAGACCTTCCGTGCTTTGTTAGTTCTGTCCTGAAGTGTGTTCCACAGATCTGTGTAGAGCAGACCAGTCACAAATACATGTGGTTTAATATAAGGGGAGAAAGATATTTCTGCCTTGAGGGGCTCAGTCCTGCTAGGCCATATGGAGTGGTTTGAGAGGCACCGAGATAAAAGGGAAAAGTAACAGATATAAATGAAAGGACTTTGTTGGATTCAAAAAAATCGGTTGCCTGAGTTTAGCATGGTGATGACAATATTGCATGGGGAGACAATTCTTGAGGAAAAGGCTTTAGGGTTTTAGTGGACTCACTCAAAGCTCAGTATGGGTCAGTAATGGGATAAGACAGCCAAAAAAGCTTTGGTTTTAAGGTTCACAAACCAAAGCAAAGTGTCCAGGACAAGGGAGATGGTTGTTCTGTTCCCTGGCCTCGTCAGACCCCATTTGCATTATTTGGTTTCATTCAGGGCATCATATTTTAAGAAGGCAAACTAGAGCGTGTCCAGAACAAGGTAGACAGGGTGGTGAGGGAAGTCGTGCTCTATGAATATTGATCGAAGGCCCTGGCACTGTTTACCCTAGAGAAGAGAAAATATAGAAGGATCCATCTTCAGGTATTTGAAAAGCTGCCTTATGGAGAGAGATTAGACTTGTTCTGTTTGGCATTAGAGGACAGCATAAGGAGCAGATTTCAGGGAGCCAGATTTTGGTTCACTGGAAGGAAAGACTCTCTGACACAATCGTCCATTAAGGGGATAGTCGGCCTTGCTAGGTAGTAAGTTTACTGTCTCTGGTGGTGTTCAAGTGGGGAGTACCACTTGCTGGTGATGTTACACCAAGGATTCCTGCTTCAGATACAAGTTGCCCTCTGAGGTCCAACATTCTTTGATGAAAGGAACAGAGGAAGAAGGCAGAGTATGTCATAGTTGGCATTTACATAGCTGCTTTCAGGTTTACAAAGCACTTGACATCCATCATCTCATTTGAAGCTCCCAACAGCACTGACAGGTGGATGCTAGTGTTATTTTATGTGTGAGGAAACCATGCAATTCATAAATGCATGAGGCAGGATCCAAACCCCAGACTTCCTTGATTCTGAGTCCAGTGACGCTCTGTCATGACACCATGCCAAGGCCAGGTGGAAGGTCAGTGGCTTGGCTTTAAAGGCTTTGGGGATTTTTGGTGCTGGAGGACCCCCGGTGACCGGGTCTTTGTCCACCGCAGCTTTTCTAGGTCTCGGTCAGGTCGACCTGCTTTCTCTCGGCCGCTGGTGTATTCTCTGCGCAGGGAGCGGCTGCGGGACTGGCGGAAGGCTGGCAGGATCATCCGAAAGGCCTGAGGGATCCCCCAGTGCTTCCAAGAACCTGCATGTAGCTTCCCTGGGCCCTGAAGGAGGATGATAAGGCCTGGAGCCCAACAGGAAGGCCGTTCATGTGGAGGATGAGTTTGCCCAGAGAACAAGGCCCTGCCCCATTAAAGAAGCACAGACGGTATCCCCCACACCTCCCCATCTTCAGGGCTGGTAAAGCAAGAGCTTCCTACCTTCATGGAAATGCCCAAGCACCTGGTATTTCCTGGAGTTAGTGTTTTTGGGGGACACCTGGGACCAGGAGAGGAAAGAGATTGGCCCAGACATGGGAGTGCAGAGACCTGAGACTGTACTGCCCCCACCTGGGAGGGAATGTCTGTGTAGGGGCAGGGGAGGGGAAGGATGGAGAGAGGTAGGCTCTGCTGTGTTTCCCATCCTGGGTCCCGATTTGGAAATCTCCCAGCCAGCTCAGAGTGATATGGAATATGGTCCTTCTTTCCTCCCCAACCTGGGTCAGAGTCTGCAGACTTCTAGATTAGTGGTCTTGGCCCTAGGGTATGGGGGAGTGACCTTGGGAAATGAACTGGGAAAGACTGGGGAAAATAGCCAATGCAAAGAAATGAAGAGATGAGGTTTAGATATGCCCAGCCCCCAGTTTATCTATTCCATAAGGAGGTAGAGGAAGACCAGACCTAGGCCCCGCCCTCAGGGAACTCACCGTTCTTAGGAGACCTGAGGAAGCCCAGACTGGGTCTTGCCCTCAGGGAAATCAGTAGTATTGGAAAGTGTAGACTTTAAGAAACAGAGAACAGCATTGGAGAGTGTATATTCAGGCAGCAGAGTGAGTGGTGTACCCCATGGGACTTGCATATCTGTTGTACTATAAACAATTTGTAAAATGTTTAGTAAATAGGACTATTTATATGTATAGATAAAACTTAAAACCTGCCCTAAGACTTGTGGGACACCTTGTATTAGGAGATCCCCCTCTCAGGGTATCCCTACTCCCATGGATTAATCTAATTTAATCACTACCACTACCACTAATCACTGTCTCCTCCCTACTTTCACTTCTCTCCCCCCAAAACTCCTTTCATTGATTCCTCTTTGCATACAAGATAAAGTCTGAACTCTTCCTGGCCTTACACTCTCTGCCCTCTAGCCTGTAGCTCACATCTAAGCCTTATCACCTAACTACTTTCCTGTATACTCCAGCCAAACCTACTCCCCCCTCCCCCAAAACATTATGCTGATTCCCACCTCTGCTTCTTTGCTTTTGCTGCTCCCGATCCCTGGTCTTCCCTCCTTCCCTGTTACCTCTCTTCCTTTCCCATCCCTTTTTCAAGTCTTGGCTTCAAAGCTTAACTCATCAACACTGCTGCATCTCCTCTGAGCACCCTGCCTTGGCTTGCAAGCTGACCCCATCCTACCTTTCTAGCTTTGTTATACATTCTTTCCCTCTGCACAAACCAGACTTCTTCCTCTCCCTCACATTGGGCATTCCACCTCCTGTCTCTGAATTTTCACTGCACATGCTCCATGCCTGAAATGTACTCCATTCTCAACATCCATCCTTCTTCCATCCCTGCTTTCCTTCAAGACTCAGGTCAAGCCCCCACCCCTACCCTCCCTTCTGAATGAGGGCTTTCCTGGTCTCCCTCATACAGCTACTACCACCCCCAGCCTACCACAATCTTCTATATGTTTTATCTGTGTATATAGAGGGGCATTTTGTCTCCCCCATTAGAACGTAAATTCAGAGGCAATGACTGATTCCCTTTTGTCCTATCCCTAGGGCCTAACACTGTGCTTGGCCCATAGTAGGTGCTTAATAAACATTTGCAGATTGATTGGTTAAATTCAACAAACATTTACAGTGTTAACTACCAACGATGTGCTAGGCACTGGAAGTACAAAGATAGTTAAAATATAGACCCTGCTGTCAAGAAACTAACAACAACAGTAATAGCTAGCATTTATATAGCACTTCCAAGTTTTCAAAGCAATTTTTAAGTATTATCTCCTTTGATCTTCACAATGCCCCTATTGTTTCCATTTTACAGATGAGGAAACTGAGGCAGTCAGAGGTTGTGACTTGCTCAGGTTCACACAGCTAATAAGTGTTTGAGGCAGGATTTGAACTCTGGGTCTTCCTGCCCCCAAGTCCAGCCCTCTATCCATTGTTTGACCTAGCTGCCTCATAATCAAACAGGGAGAAAGACATATGCACAAATAACTCTGATATAAAGGAAAGTGAGAGGAATGCAAAGGACATGTCAAGACAAAGTGCCATGAGAAATTTGAGCAGGGAGCGATCTTTTTCAGAAGGGACTGGTCTTTGGGAAAATACTTCATGGAGTATGGGAAATTTGAGGTAGGCTATGAAAGAAGGAAAGGGCATCAGATAAAGGGTGGGGAGGCTCATTCCCCAATAGGGGAGAGTGTGGACAAAGACACAGAGAAGGGAGAAGGAAGGATGAGAACAAGGGGACAGAAAATTGTCTCATTCAGTAAAATTTAGAGCCTGTGAAAGACAGCAGCATTTTCAAAGACCAGAAAGGTAGGGAGAAGCCAGACTGTGAAGGCCCTCATTTATCAGGATCAGGAATCTGTACTTTACTTGTCAGGCAATGAAGAGCCATCGAAAGTTTTTGAGTAATGACAGGATCAAAGTGTTAGGAAGATCACTGGGGGCAGCAATGTGTAGGATGGATTGGCAGGGAGACCAGTTATATGTCGCAGTAGTCAAAGCAAGAAATGAGTGACTGAACTGAGGTGGGGGTAGTGAGAATGAGGGGTTGTTGTGATAGCTGAAGTGCTTCCTCACTCACAGAACTCTGGAACCCTTATTGTCTGTGCTGATTATTGTGATTTGCCCAGGCTCATCCAGCTGATAATTTTCTTTGGCAGGATTTGAACTCGAGTCTTCCTGCCTCCAAGTCCGGCACTCTATCCACTGTTGTCTGTGCTGCTTATTGGATATCTAGCACCATAACCTTTTGTCATTTTTCCCCCCATGTGTTTATGCCTTGTCAACTCAACCAGATTCGAGGGCAGGAATCGTCTTCTACCTGTATGTATCCCTACTGCCTCACACAGCTCCCTGTGTTTGATAAACGCTAAGGAAACATTTTCAACATAGTTGTCTGCTTTTCAGATGCTGGGTCTAGCTGGCTTGAGATGTCAGAGTGGGGAGGGAGAGATGGTGGCAGAGGAGGAAACAGCTGCTGTCTTAAGTAGGAGAAAGAGCTAGTGGCTCTGTATTATCAGCAGTGTCCAGGACTGGGTGGGATGGGGTGATAACAGCATGCAGACTAATTTATGAACAGACTAATGGAGCCACTTTATAGGAATCCTTTCCTTTGGAAGTTATTTTAATAAAGAAGCCCCCTTCTACAACTGCCAGAGCTGCATAACCACACCACCCGCCTTAACCCTGGTCCTGCCACTCATAGCAGGGACTACTAATACTGTTAATGTTATTATATCACGCTTTAAGGTTTGCAAAGCCCTTTACAAATGTTATTTCATTTTATTATCCTCACAGCAGCCCTGGGAGGTAGGTGCTATCATTGTACCCATTTTACAGATCTCAAAACTGAAGGAGACAGAGGTTAAGTGTCTTGCCCAGGGTCATTAGCTAGTTACCTGAGGGCACACTTGAACTCAGGTCTACCAGCATTCTACTTAAGCTGAATCGCCCAGCTGCCTCCTGCCTAGGACTTTTACTCAAAAAGATGAAAGAAAATATCATTGTGGCCATGGTAGAGATAGAACCTCAGCTGAACTTTACAGAGATTTAGAATCTGGAGCAGTAGAAATAAGAAGGGAGCATTTCATGAAGGGAATAGGGCATGAAGAGATAGGAACAAGTAGGGTCTGTTTGGGGAGTAATGAAGTAAAGAGTTTGTATAAGGACGTAATGGGAGATGTTTGATTACGGGGGCCTTGCATGCCAGGCTGACGAGTTAGCATATGATCTAAAAAAGAATAAGGAGTTTGCTGAGCAAGGGAGTGATGGGATGAGAGAAGAATTTTAGGAAGATCAGTCTGCCAGCAAGAGGCAGGGTGGCTTAGTGGATAAAGAGCCAGCCTCAGAGTCAGGAAAACCTGGGGTCAGGTCCTGCCTTAACAGTTGGTGGCTCTGTGGCCCCAGGTAGATCACCACCTGCTACAGGCAGCTCTCTGAATTGCAGGGTAGGTACTGACTGCTTCAGCCGAGGGGGCTTCTTCACTTGAGTCCCATGAGTCATTGGAATCAGAAGTCCAGTTAAAAAAAACCCCAAACCAAAACCTGTCAGTGTAAGCAGGATGAAGTGGGGAGGGGAGGGTTAGGAGGCTGCTGAGGCTGCAGTCTGGGTAGAGGGGGGTGAAGACCTGGTTGGGGGTGATAACCATGAAAATGGAGAGGAGGGAACTACGTGAGGGAAGTAGGAAGAAAGAAGGAAGAGGATTTTGTGACTGGGTAGAGGGGTGGGGGGAAAGAGGAGGAATGAAGGGTGACACTGGCTTTTCCCTCTTAAGGGCCTGGGAGGTGGGGGTACTACTGCCAGCAGCAAGGAAGATGGGAGAGCCATACAGTTTGTAGGAGGGAAGTCCTGACTCTCTTTCGGGGCATGTTGAGTTCCAGGTGATGATGGAGACGTTCCAGAGGCAGCTAGCCATGTGGGGCTCAAGTCCTGATACAAATGTGATGATGTCTGGAGCAGCTCACTGTAAAACTCCTGGAGGAGGGTCAGAGCCCTCCAGTTCTCCATACCATGGTGTCCAGAGGTAGGTGCAGGGCCCCTCACAGGCCCTGGGATCTGATGTCATCAGGACCGGTTTGGTAAGAAGTTCAACCCAAAGGAAGTGGGTTGTAGAAAAGCAGGTCATTTCCTGGTTCCCAGCCTAAATAAAAGGATTACAAGAAAGTTGGGAGCAGATACATTTTCTGAGATAAGAAGCCTGGCTAATTTGTTGATGGAGAACATTCATTGGAGGAACTGGAATAGTGAAGAGTCTTGATTTAGGGATGCGTAGCCTGGGGGAAAGATTCCCAGGGAAAAGTGATAGCTGTCATTAAGTACTTGAAAAGCTATCTTGTGAAAAAATGGTTAGATTTATTCCACTTCGGCCCAAAGGGCAGAAAAAGAAGTATGGGTAGATGTTACAAAGAAGTAGATTTAGGCAGGATAAAAGGAAAAACTTCCTAATAATTAGAGCTGGCCCAAGGTAAAATGAGCTGCCTGGGGAAATTGTAGTTTCCCCTTCTTTGGGTAGAGGAGAGATGACCATTTATCATTCATGCAGTAATGGAAGGGTTCTTTTTTTGAGGGGGAGGGGTATGGCTTACACAAGATGGCCCAAGGTCTCTCCCAGCTCTGAAATTCAGTTATTCTTTGACTGGATGGAGAGGTGCAGTACTCTTGGACTATCTTATGGACGTCTGGAGGTGACACAGGGCCAGGCAGAGGGAGCCACATGAATAAAGACTTGGAGCTGAAATGAAAGTTAGCCTGAGCTGGGGATGATGGGGAGTCTGGTGTGTATCAGACAGCGTCGGGAGTTAGTGAAAACAGGAACTCATCTGTGTGGTGCCCCACTTTCATATGTACATGTAGTCTGTCCTTTACAACAACCCTGTGATAGGCAGGGCAAACTTTAGTAGCCTCGTTTTACAGGAGAGGAAACAGGGTTTCAAAGAGAGAGAGATTTACTTGCCCAAGGTCACACAGCTGGTAAGTAAGCAGTGCCAGGAATACAAACCCAGATCTCCCAACATTGAAAGCCCTGGACTTTACCCTAGTTCATGCTTCAATGAGTATTCATTGACTGAAGGACTGGGTGGGTGGGGGTCCATTTATGGAAGGTCTTGAATATATATGACCTAGGAGGTGGAGTGATTCCCTACTGAACTTGGGGATCTGGCCTCCTGGGTTCTCCTTATCCCGGAGTAGAGGACCCACAGACTTGGGCACTTTGTCCAGGCAGAGAGGGTTGGAGCTCTCTTCTGACAATGGTGGGAGTAGAATGTGGTGGATGTGGAGACTGAAGTGGGGCGGGGACACAGTGATGTGAGAAGGGGAGGGGCAGAGGAACAGGTGAAGAGCCAGAGCAGGGATGGGCCCTAGAAGGTAGAAGCTCATGAGAGAGGACAGGAGAGTGAGAGAGAAGGGAAATAAGGAGTCCAGAGAAAGAGAGGGGGGAGAGAGAGAGAGAGAGAGAGAGAGAGAGAGAGAGAGAGAGAGAGAGAGAGAGAGAGAGAGATCAATGGAGGGGGAACAGAGAGAAATTCCTGAATGATACCCACTGTCAGCCCCCTAGAGGCAACAGCCCTTGACCTTCAGTCCAGGAGAGAGTGTCAGTAAATCCCACGGGGGAATCACAATCGGGCTGTACACTCTCATAGGTTGTCGACAGTGTTGTTCTTGCCCCCCCTCCCTAAGTACATGATCTCCTAGGAAGGGGGAGGGAACTGGGAGAGGCTGAGCCAGGTGGTGGGGGGAGTGTCTCAGGGGTGTCAGAGGAAGGTCTCTAAGAAACATCCATGGGCTAGAGAAGGAAGTGGTGAAAAGAGTGAGGAGTCATCCCATTTGAACAGCCTGGAGTGATTCCCCTGGGACAGGGATGACCCCTCCCTCCTGAGGTGAGGGCTCTGAGGCCTCAGTTCATTCCTCTGCGTCCCGCCCGCCCCCCCTGACTCACTTCCTTTGCATAGAGGCGGAAGCCTCTTCATCAGCTTCCTCTCCCTCCTGGTTCTCTCCCCGACAGGCAGGTGTCCTGGTCCTGGGTCCTGGCTGGAGATTTCCTGAAGCCCGTCTCTCCTGATGCCCGTGAATGCAGTCTCCTGACCCTTTCCCCTAGAGCTCTCTCCTCCCTCCACAATACAGCCTGGGAGCCCCCAGCCCAGGGAGGCTTTGGCATTTCCTGCTTCCTGAACAGCTGGAACGGCTGGCCTCTTGGGAGGAGGGCAGAGCAGGGGACCAGGGCGCCCTGGGGTGGCTGGCTCAGGGCCTGACATTGATCACACAAGGTATGGACTAGTTGGAGCTGGGGAAGGCCTCGTGGTTGTCCTGTCTCTCACCAGCTGGCTTTGTCTCTTGCTGTTTCTTTGTATGTGCCTGTCTTTTTCTGTCTGACTCTGTCCTGTCTCATTCTTTCTCTACATCTCACTCTGCCTCTGCCTCTTTCCTTGTATCTGTCTTAGTGTCTCTCTCTGTCTCTCAGTATCAGTCTCTTTTCCCTTCTTCTCTCTTTTTTCTTTGTCTGTTTCTGTCACCTCTCTTTGGCTTTTTCTTTCTTAATCTTCTCTGTATGATTTTCTCTCTCTCCTCTTGAGCCTGGCTGTGTATGTCTCTCCTTGTATCTTACTGTCTCCATCTCTCTCCCTGTGTCTGCCTCAAGGGGAGGTGGAGGAATTGGCGTGGGGTTTCTTCTACCCCATCCCCACATCTGTAGGTGTGGGGAGGTCAAGGGGCTTTCAGGAGAGGGGTCCATCCTGGGGGTGGTTTGAAGACCCTCACACTGTGAGCTAGCAGATGAGATTGCATCCTGTCCATTTTTCTAGCCCCAAGAAACGCCCTAGGGACTTTCTTCTCCACCCTCTAGCCCTCAGTCCTCTGGGGGTCTGCTTGGGGAGGAGCTAGTGCTGCTCTCCCAGCCTTTATCCTTCACTAGTGTCCTAGTGACTATGGTTAAGGGAGAAGATCAGTTTAAGGAGGGAACCTAGGGAGTCAGTGTTTGTTTATCCAATTATAGGAGTAGGGGAGCTGGAACTTTCATGGGAAGGAGATTGGCAATGTGGTTTCAGTCCTTGGGCCTTCCTTCCCTCTTTCCCCCTGTCCACATAATACCCCCACCCCCAGCCCAGGGACCTCCTTCCTAGAAGCCCAGTGATCATAGCATTGGCCCTGGATGGGGGAGGAGATGGAGCCAAAACCTTATCTACTTCTGGACCCTGCCACTGACCCCTCTGTCAGGAAGCCCTCTAGGCAAACAAAGCCACAGAACCACCCACCCCTCCCGCTGTCAGGCCTGGCCACTTCCTCATTCACTAGGCAGAGCTGCATTTATTCCCTTCTGACCTAAAGGATTTGCATGTGGGGCCCAGGCATCCTGATGGTGGGGGTGAAGTTTGATACCCCTCCCTCACTGGCCAAGCCCAGCCTGGCTGAGAGACGAGCTGCGTCTTCTAGGAAGGACGTAGCCACCTCCCAGCATAGCTCTGGGAGAGCATCTGAGATCCTTTGGGATCTCTGAGAACAACCAAGGTTACCTGCTGTGCCCAGTTCAGGAGAGCCTGGGATTTGGAAAGGTGGTTGTCTTGTCGGTCCAGTGGGAGGGGCCTTAGAGCTTATCTATAGTCCAACTAACCCTGTCATTTCACAGAGAAGAAAATCCAAGCCCTGAGAGGGAAATCAGTTTGTTCAGTGTTTTAAATAGGAAAACCAGGATTGGAACCTAGGTCCTCTGTATCCAAATCCAGTTCTCCAGAACTGTACCACTTTTTTGTAGGAGGAACAGTAGGAGCCAGGGACAAAGGAAGGAAGGAAACAAGCATTAATTAAGCACTTACTATGTTTTTTGGTTTGTTTGTTTTGGGGTTTTTTTTGGTCTAGGCAATGGGGTTAAGTGACTTGCCCAGGGTCACACAGCTAGTAGGTCTTATGTGTCTGAGGCCAGATTTGAACTCAGGTCCTCCTGAATCCAGGGCCGGTGGTCTATTTACTATGCCACCTAGCTGCCCCAAGTGCTTACTATGTACCTGGAACTGTGCTAAGCGCTTTACAAATATTATCACATTTTAACCTCACAACAATTTTATGAGGTCATTGCTATTATGACCACTCCCTATCAAGGCAGACAGGTTAAATGACTTGCCTAGGGTCATGCAGCAAGGAAACTTCTGAGGCTAGATTTGAACCCAGGCCTTCTTGCCTCCAGGCCCAGGGTTCTATCCACTAGTCCATCTCCCTCTACCACCTCCACCTCTACCTCCAATCCCTCTCCCTTTGCAGCTGGAATGTTGGAAAGACGGAATCAGGCTGGGGTGATGGGAACTGAGAGCTAATGATCTTAAAATTACATCATATTTCTTTTCTGAGCCTCTCTTTAGTAGATCTATTATCTGTTTTCCCATTGGTTGTGAGTTGAAGCTCTGTACCTAGCTATGGAGTTGCTTAGGGCTGAGAAGGCCAGGTACAGTGATACCTTGAGATGTCCCTGGCAGACCTCTGAAAAGGCTCTTAATGTGATCTTCCTGTTCTAGGGAAGACAACCTGAATGGTGTGTCATCAAGAGCGATGGAAGGAGGTCAGCCAAGCCCCCGACCTGCCCAGGTTCCCTCAGGGGGCATGGTCTCCTCACCAGTGAGGGCTGTCATTCGCTTGCGCCGGAAATTCCGGATCTTGCGCAAGAGCCGCCTACGATCCAACCTCCCTGGGGAGTCGTCCCTGGCTCTCACCCCGTCCCCATCGCGGCTGCTTCAGAGACAGATCTCCCTCGACCGGGCCAAGCTGAACAGCACCCCCGGGCCCCACCTCCCCCACCGCATGAACTTTGAGAAGCCCCAGTATTTCACCTTCGAGGCCCCCGTGGAATCGCCCTTCCGGAAGAAGAAGAAGCGCAGTAAATCTCGGGTTGTGTTGTACCCGGAGAGCTCTCGGAAGTACCTCCCGACCGAGCAGAAGAGCAAGGCCAAACGCTGCCTGCTTCTGCTGGTGGCCATCGTCTTCATTCAAATCCTCAACGCCATCGAGAACCTTGATGACAATCTGCAGAAGTACGACCTCGATGGGCTAGAGAAAGCCCTGCAGCGGGGTGTGTTTGGCCAGAAGGCCGCCATGGACAGCATTATGGAACTACTGCGGGATTATTTGGCCACACACATCCACAGCCAGCCTCTGGTCATCTCGTTCAATGGCCCAAGTGGAGTGGGCAAAAGCCACGTGGGCCGGCTGTTGGCAAAACACTTCCGCTCGGTGATGGAGGGGGATTTTGTGTTGCAGTACTATGTGATGCATCACTGTCCAGACCATCAGGAGGGCCTAGCCTGCCAGCAGGATCTGTCTGAGAGGATCACTGACATGGTGACCCGCGCAGAGGTGGAAGAAAAGATTCCTGTGTTCATCCTGGACGAGGTCGAGTTCATGTCTCCAGGCCTGCTAGACACTTTGCACGGCTTCCTGCAGCCTCGGCAGTCCAATGAGTTTCTCAATGCCATCTACGTGCTCATCAGCAGTATTGGCGGCAGCGAGGTCACACGCTTCGTTCTGCAGAACATCTCCAGCGAGCTGACCCCACAGCGCCGCAGGGAGGAGCTCAGCCAGTCTGTCCACACCCTCCTGGCAAGCACCCACCCGCTCTGGGAGATTGCTGAGGTGGTCCCTTTTGTCCTGCTAGAGAAATGGGACATCATGAACTGCTTCCTGGATGAGATGGTGGGTGAAGGCTTCTACCCTGACCAGAGCCACATCGAGAGCCTGGCGGGGCAGCTCAGTTACTACAACACCAAGGGAGGGGAGTTTGCTGTCACGGGCTGCAAGCAGGTGGTGGCCAAGGTCAACCTGTTGTAGTGGACACCTCGCTCGTCCTGCACCTATCCTTGCCTGTCCTCTTCACTCTTCTGTGGAATTCAAACTTATTGTGGTAGGGGAGGGCACCAGAGGGCTCAGTGGGTTGCCCCTGTCCTCCTCCAGGCTCTCACATTTCCTGCCTTGCCTGGCTTAGACAGTGTTCCCAGGCTTATCCTCAGGAATACTGCCTCTTGGGATTTGGGGGAGCCCAAAGTGCTGCTCATAGAAGGAAGGTCAAGGCCTCTATTTATACATAGGACTTTATAGCTGCTTCCTCAAATACTGTCCCCTAGGATGGGGCAGCAGGCATCTAGATTGCTGATTTCTCTGCGAAGGCAAGACGCATGAAGGAGTTTCAGGAGCTGAGGGAAGGGCTGGTGCTGAAGGCTGCAGGTCAGACTTGGGGAACTCTTCCCTACACGCCTCCCCCCACAACCTCCTCACTTTCTAAGACTGATGTTCAACACCTGCTTGATCACAGTGCCAGATGTCCCGCCCCACAGAGCACCAAACCAGTTGTGGGTAATGGAAGGAGAGATGCTTCCTGAAAGCTTAGACCCTGGGGAGGGGGGTGATTGTCAAGACTGTGCCATGGTCTTCAAGATTCCTAATAAATGTCTGCCTGGTCATCTGTTTGATTAGTGTTAATAATATACGTGGGTTCAAACCTTCACCTTGTTTCCCCAGCCACAAACTGTGATCTAATCCCAGCTACAGACTGATCTGATCCAGCCAAAGAGAGATCTGTAAATCTGACCACAGACTAATAGGGAACCCTGTCCTGTGATCCCAGACTGATCCGTAACCTCAGTCATAGACTAGCCTTGACTGCGGATCGAATCTCTACTGTGGTCACAGACTAGACCCTGACTCTAACTAACCACCTCTAAGGGTGTGAATGTCAGAGGGCAACCCATACCCACTCTCTCCCTGATGGGGGCATCTTCATTAGCCAAGGGTCAGTATGTGATTCAAGGGGTTAGTGGTTGGTATGGAAGCCTTGAACAGAGAGTCACGATACTATACTTACATCGTGTTTCTAATTCTCCCTTCCACCCTCACAGATGAAGGCTATATTGATCCACAGTCAGGCAATCAACAAGCATTAATAAATCATTATGTGCCAGGTCCTGTACTAAATGGGGAATACAAAAAAAGGTAAAAACAGCCCTCAAGGAGTTCACATTCTAATAGGGGAGACAATGTGCAAATAACTATGTACATAACTTCTACCAGAAGCTTTTCCCAACCCCTCCTAATTCTAGTACCTTCCTTCTGTTAATTATTTACTATTTATCTTGTATATAGTTTGTTTTGTATATATTTCTTTGCATGTTGTCTCCCCGTTAGATTGTAAGCTCTTTGAGGGCAGGGACTGTCTTTTGCCTCTTTTTATATCCCCAGAGTTTAGCACAGTGCTTTGCTGTACAAAGGCACTTAATAAATGTTTATTAATTTGTTGATCAAATGATTCATATATACAGTATACATGGAAATAATGTTAGAGGTAAGAGGATGGGAGTCAAGAAGGTACCAGGATAGACACCCATCCTCTAGATGGTGAGATTTTAGCTGACTCATGAAAGGACAGCCATATGAAAAGACAGAATAGGGAGGCTGAGGATTGTGTTGGAAGAACAGCAAATAAGCCAGTGTATATAATGTGGAGGGAATTAAAGTGTAAGAAGCCTGGAAAGGTAGAAAGGGATCACTTTATGATAAGAGGGGATTAAAATGCCAAAGTGTTTTATATTTGATCCTGGAGGTAAGTAGGAGCCCCTGGAGTTTATTGTGAAGGGGCGGCATAGAGCGCTTCACAGCTAAGTGGAGTGTCGGTGACTAAGCTGGGGCCTGCCCTGACCACAGTCATCCCCCTTTAGCAGGGTCACATGCCATACTGGTACTGAGATTACCTCACATACCTCTGGGACCTGGCACAAGCCTCTTCAAATGGAAGCCTCCGTTTCTTCATCTAAAATGAGGGGTTGGACTTGGCTTCCAAGGGTCCTTCCACCTGCTCAAACTTTATATCTCCTAACCTCTGCCTGCCTCTCTTTCCTTAAATGTGAAATGGGGATAATAATAGAACCTAACTTAGGGTTGTTGAGAGGAGCAAATGAGAATATTTGCAAAGTGCTTTGCTTGTTTCTTTCCTATCCGTTCCGATGCTGGTGAAGGAAGGGCCCTACTCTTCACTGAGCAGGAGGCTGGGGGCTGGAGGAGTGGGGTGGACCCCAGGCTAGGCAATCCCCTGGTTGGTGCTTTACCTCTCAGTATGCTCAGCTGGAGCGAAGTGGGGATGGAGTGGGAACCTTCACTTCTCCGAAGGCTCAACCAAGGGAGTCCAAACCCATTCTCCAGAATCCATCCTACCTATCCAGGACCTGCCCCAACCCGTGGGGGACGGCTCTGCTCCTCACCAGTCCCTCAGTAGCGTGTCTGGTGCCCGCTCCTCACGCACCCTCGCGTAGCACCCTGCCTGCCGTCCGCCCCCATGCGCCCCTCCCCAACAGTAGCGTGTCTGGTGTCCTCACGCACCCCGCCCCCTCCCGAGCAGCACTGTGCCTGCTGTCCCCCGTGCACTCCGCAGGCTGCGTGCAGCTTGTTTTCAAGTGCACCTGGATGCCGGGGCTTCAACTTGGTCTTTCAGGGAGGCCGGAAGGGCAAACTTCGTGAGGACCCTTTCTTCCCTCCTCTCCCCCTTCCCCGCCCTCAGCCTGCGCCCACTTTGTGCCAACTGGACGGGCGTCGGGAGCGGAGTCCCTAGAGGTGTAGCCTAGGGTCACATTTCTTCCCCCTGCTGGGGGTCTGGGTTGTCAGAGGGAGCGCTCGCCCGCGCCTGCCCGCCTCCCCCCTGATCTTTTCTGTTCACGTCCCGGTTGCACCCGCTACTTCCAGCGCCGGGTCTCAGTTTCCCCGGATACTAGGACACTACTTGGCCTCTCTCTCCCTGTCCCTCCCGGCCCCTACCCTCACCTCTTTGCCCCTATAGGCGCTTCCAGACGGAGCCTGCAGGTTGGGTTTGGGGGAAGGGCACCAGTGAGACTTGCAAGAAATGAAAGAGTCGAGTAAACACTTAAAGATGTTCCTCTTTCGCCCCGGGTTAAAACCACTCTGGCCTCTTAGGCTCCCCAGGGGTACACAGATGAAGTCCTTGTGGCGACTGCTCCGGGTCAGCAGTCTCCGGTCCTGAAAGGGTTGGGGTGGCTGGGGTGGCTGGGGTGGGCGGAATTGGAGGCTCTTAGATGCTGACTGTGGCAGTTAGAGAGGACACTATCAGATCCTGTTAATAGGAGCATGTTTATCCGTGAGGGAGGGAGGAAGAAAGGAAACAAACATTTATTAAGCGCCTACTATGTGCCACGGCTTTACAAATATCTCATTTTACTTTCACACCAACACAGGGAGGTAGGTGCTATTATTATCCTCATTTTATAGTTGAGGAAACTAAGGCAGACAGCTGTGAAGCTTCTCTGCCTAGGATCATACAGGCTGAGAACGAATTTGAACTCGGAACTTCTTGACTTCACGCCCAGCACTGCACCACATAGCTAGGCACCGCACTGGAAAAGGACAAACACAGTTCTGTTTCCATCCAGGAGCCTACGGGGGTAGCCCAGAGCCCTGTACAGCAAGGGGGAGCTTTTAAAAGGCAGAAAGAAAATAGACACTTGTCCAGGTAGAGAGAACCAAACAGATCATAGTTTTTAAGAGATGGAAGGTACCTGGGGTAGCTAGGTGGTCCAGTGGATAGAGCTGGCTTTGGGTGGGGGGAAAAGAGGGAGGAAAGATTGGGGAATGAAGGAGTAGATGGTCCCCAGAAGTGCCATGGGGCTAGGTACTTTTTTCTCTAGTCTCTAAAGAAGTATTGGGCTAAATCATGTCTCTCTTTTTCATCTCCCCCTCCCCAAATATCTCTGGTCTATTGGTATGAGTCTGAGTTTAAAAAAAAAATCCTTACCCTGGTTGCTCTTAAGGGGGAAAGTAGCCCTTAGCTAACCCTCATCATTTTAGTACCTTCCCAACCAATGCTGGTTACATGAAGGGCTACCACACAGAGTGAATAGCAATTATATTCATTTATCTAAGCCAAACAGTAGGCAGAAATTGCGAGAAGTTCTATAGATTAGAATCCATCAGAAAATATATGAGTGAATTAGGTCTTCTGCTTAGAGTGAGATAACATCTCACAGCTCAAGCCAAGAGGTTTATTCTAACAATCTCCAGGAGGCAAGTTGGAATGCTGAGGAGCTAGCTTCCCCTACATGTCTGATGCTTCTCTCTCCACCTGAACAGTGTCTGGAAATACACATGACTCTTGCCCAAGAAGCTGTGAGTTCCTCATGCAGGTATGTACTTCCACATCATACCCAGCTACCAGGAGTGAAACCACAGGCTTTTACCCTTTACTTACTAAGCCATATTTGCACTTTGGAGTTGAAGGAAATAGAGAAGTTAGACTCACAACCCGTGTATTTCTTGGTTGACAATAGGCTGAAAAAGTCTTAGCACTTGACTATTATCTCAGAAAGGCTCTGATAGAAATAAGCTGCTGTGCAATGCCAGGGTCCCTTGTCTCTGTAAGAGCACACATCACCCAAGGTGAGTTCTCTAGCTGAGCCTGAGGTGGGAACTGGCATGGATTATAGCTGTCATTAAGGAGCAAGCTCAGATAAGAGAAAGACTAGGCCAGCCTAGCCCTGAAGCAACCTAGCCCTGGATGGACCTATCTAGCAGAAACTCTGCCCCTTACGAGGAGCTAATCCAGCCCAGCAACAGAATGACCTAGCCCAGGAACAGAGTCACCTGCTAGCTCTCCCAGCCACATTTTAGGAAAGATATTAATAAGGTGGGAAGCACCTAAAGGGAATTAGATGAAATAAATTTATATGTTTAATTTGGAGAAGAGATTTAAGGGGAACACGATAAATGTTTTCAAGTATTTGAAGGACTTTTGTGGAAGAGCGATTAGGCTTTTTCTTCTTGACCCTAAGGTACTACGGATAGAAATTACAGAGAAAAAGATTTAAGCTTAATGTAAGTGAAATCTTGCTAATAATAACAGCTGGCAAATTTATAGCCTTAAGGTCAAGTGATTTGTGCAGGGTCATGTAGCTAGTAAGTTTCTAAGGCCAAATTTGAACTCTGGTTTTCCTGACTCTGGGTTCAGTACTTTGTTCACTGTGCCATCTAGCTGCCTGCAATAATTGGAATGGGACTGCCTTAGGAGGTAATGCATTGACTCTCCCTAGAAGTCTTCAAGCAAAGGTGAGTTGCAGAAGGGATTCTTGGACAGATATGGGTTTGACTAGATAACTTCTGAAGTCCATTCTACCTCTCTAGTTTCTGACTGACTCCAAGTGAGAGAAGTAGCACAGTGTCCTGGCCTCTTGTCAATCACAGAGCCCGAGAGGTGACCTGAGTGGAAAGGTCACACTACTCCTGTACCTAGACTCTGATAATCCCCTTATCAGCTCTTTCATCTTGTTGCTCAGCACTGGGTGACTTCAGTGAAATTGAAGATTTGAAGGTAACTGTTCCCAAATAAACCCTCTGTCCTTTATCTTCCCTACCCCTCCCAGGAAACTGAGAACTGTCTGTTCTCAAAGCTTGCCAGCCCCCACCCTGC